GGTATTTCTTTATGAGCATTATTAGCTGAAGCGTTTATGAGATATGTCAAAAATCTAGCTCAAGCCCTAATAGAAAATATATGCTTATATAAGAGATATGTGAATGACATCTTAGTTATCTTTGATAATACAGAGGGTCCAATTCGTTTATGGAGTAAACTTGACAATCTACAAGGCCATATTAGTGTTTCATATGAAGAAGAAATGAACAAACAACTTCCTCTCTTAGGTATACATCATACATCTATTGAAGTAATTCATTTTAAATAAAGCATAATTTCGACAGAATTCAGTTCAATAAGATTGTAATTAGACCACATATAAATTACCGTCAAACTGACTGAATACTTTCACCAAGTAAATTAACAATGAAGATAGATAAAAGTTAGTTAAAATGAAAACATCCTTGAAAGAATGAACGAATATTGTGATCTTCGAATGACACACGAAAGATTTCAAATAAGTGCTATATAATACCTCAAGTTCTTCATAAACAACTCTGTTACTTCAGTATCTTTTAGGAGGATTTAAGAATACAATATTGAAATCAGACGAAATACTCGATATGTTAGCGAATATTACAATAATTGAATGTGAACATGTTGAGATCTAAATGATATTTAAGATAAGTTTCAGTCTTGGTAAGATTTTAGGGACTTTAAAAATGAATTGACAACACCATTATGACTCACTGAAAACAGGACATAGAATATACACATTTTAAGGAAACCACATTTCTATGAAAGAATATTGATAGCTGAAGACCTTTCCTATTTGACAATTATCAAGTAAGAAAGTCATTATTTGTTTTCTACCCTACATCTATCTCAAACATCACCAAGAACAACTATGTTTACTTGTCCGATTAATAAACTGTTGTAAGGAAAAGAATCAAATGCACAACTACGTAAATCAGTAATGTTTATTTTTTTTAACACTAAATCTTTGGTGATTTGATTTACTGAACACTGTAGTTATTTAAAACAAGACTGATATGTCAATTGTGTGACTTCAGCTAAATGCCCATTACTACTATCTGCTACTTAATGAAACGGAACGAGACTGTGATACAGGCCTAAGAAGTAAGACAAAAGTGTAGAAGGAGACTGATTTATCCACCAATCACTGAGTAAATTACATGTACCATCGTAATCATAAATTACATTTCACTTTAAATGCAGATACATCCAGCTGACGAGTCCCAAATAGGGCGAAACGCTGGTCCTGGATTCCACTGCTAGCCACTATCCATCTTCGCCTATCACTTTAAATGTTTAGTCATTAAATAAATTGGAATGAATTTAACTAGCTGTTAATTAATAATTTAATGCGGGTATATAATTCGCTCAATCAATAAACAAATAGTCAATCTGTCAATTCAACCGGATCACATCTCAACAGAACTTTCATGCATATATGGTTGAATATTTTCACAATAGTCTGACACTGAATGTGTTGGAGACACTCTATGGGAAATCGTATTTGTAAAACTCTCACTGATTAAAATTAGAAAGAACTACTGTAGTGTGTGCTATTATATCGACATAAGTAGTATATAACGCTAGTCAAGAATAGAATATCTGGCAGCAGAAGGTCAAGAAGATCGAAGAGGAAAGAACGGAAACAGAAAGCAATTGGTATGAAAATGCATGAACAATGAATTCGGAGACGATTGATTGATATTTGAAAAAGGGAAAAAGGAACAGTTGAATCTGAGACAATTGATTGACATTCTTACTGTATGGTCCTCAGATTTTACTAACATGTTCTGTAATGTATAAAAGTACATTCAATTGTCCTCACTTGTGTTGTTGTTCACTACACTCCTACTATTGTGTTGGCAGTTCAAATAAACAGCGTTCCCGCTCTTCCTTTCTTGATCTTCCCCCATCTTCGTCTGCCAGACATTACGTTCTTTAACTCGCGTCATATACTACTTATATCAATACAAGCAGCACACACCACTAATATAATAAGATTAAAATGTTTTTGTTATAATAATTAAAGGTCATAGAGGGGTAGAAATAAATAAGGTGATATGATAAGCATTTACGAGTAAAATAATGAGAATATAAGACATAAGTAAAAGGGGGAATGCAATAATAATAATAATAATAAACTTGATACCATGGGAACAAGACTGATTACAGATATTTACAGATGATTATTAATGGTAGCTAATCGCTACTTGTAAACATCTTGAACACTTTTTTTCATTTTCACAAATTAAGCGCCTATAAAATTGGAATTTGTTGTAATATTTCATATTACTTGCTGACAATCTACTACTTCAATCAAATATATGGTTTTGTATAAAGCAAGTATTGTTCTTATGTTAGTGCATGAGATGGCGGAGATTTGTAACTCAGGTGGATGGTTTTGGTGGAGTTTTGTTCTCTGAGCTGGATGGTTTGGTCATGGAGCTTTCATCGTTCTTCTGAACGATGTTAGTGCATGTTTGGTGAATAAAAAAATTATAAGTTTTCTGTTTAACTGGAAAGAAATATATTTATTTATTCAGTCTGTAATTCAGTAGTGGTTAATAATCCATCAAAGGAAACATTCTATTTCTTTAGTCTAAAAGCAGCGAATAACTCATCTGATTTGATATGATTCATGACATAATCCATACACAGTTATATAATATACCCTTGTGGGCCAGGGTAATTTTACATTGGTTTTCAGGAGAACCAGACACCATCCGGACTTTCACGTGACAACCCAAACAGTACACCTCAACCCCGTTTAGCAGGGGAACCAGACACCGTATATGCTTTAACGCTACAATCCGAATAGTACAGCTCAATCCTGTGGCTCAGCCACACAGGTACCAATCACCTTGGTGGACCAATTATCCATACATACACTGTTGTAAATCCATTCCTAACAAAACTTGTCTCATTTTCTGGTTAAATACAATTTAATGAAAACAGATTATAATAAGAAGAAAAATAAAAATAACCAAATCTCGTAAATACTACATATATCTAGCGTTGTTTTAGTTTTAATTTAATGACTGGTCGAATTGAAAAGTACTTGTGATTTTCTTAGTGACAAAATATTACACTAATTTAAAGAAGTAACTACTATAATTAATCCACAGTCTACCGACTTTCGATTCCAATATATTTTATATAAAGAATTCTGAAACCATATTTTTACTTTTTAGAATGAAATAAAATTCCGTAAAGCTTATAATAAGGATTCATGATAAAGTTTTCTGTTTAACTTACGTAATCTTCACTGTAATCAGAATAGTTTAATATTTTATGAACCTACTAGTTATATGTAGAGTGCAGTTGAAAAAGCTTTTGTAAATAGAGTTTGAAACGTTTCACTTTCTTCCATTGCCTGATACCATGACTCTTTGTATGTACTGAATGATTCAAATTTCGAAGAAGTACTCAAGTCCAAGCTATAATACATAAGGTATTGACTATTTTCCAACCATATATAATGGTTATGTATTAAGATAATCAGCGATAATGGAAAAGATTCAACGTTTTTTATTCTTAATAATGGTAAGCATTGTATTTGGTCCTATATAGGACTTATCAGTTGAACGTACCAGAGATCGGTTTGTAAGCAGTATGTAATCTCACGTTATTTACAAAATAAAGGGTCAGTAATCTAGTTAGAGGTCAGGTAGATATAATTTGCCATTTGTCATCACTGCATTGACTGTGTGCTTTAAATTTCAGACGTTACAGATTCCACATATATTTCCTTTAGTTATTGTTATATCATAACCCTTATGTTTTACACACTAATGTGATTATATCGAAAGATTTTGCCAATACAAACCACCGGAGATTGTTCCATTACTACTCCGTTTGTAAAGTCTTATACAAACCGTCTCCTACTCAAACTGGTGTAGTGAACAGAACACAGGTTAAGACAACATCATTAACTTTGGCACAAAATTACAGAGCTACTTGGTAAAATAGAAAAAGCATACTCTAATACTTAATTTGCAAAATGGTCATTAGTTGTCTCAGACCTCATTGTTCCTGTAATCCCACACCAATTACTTTCTATTCCCGTTCTTCCCTTCTTGATCTCAATCTTCTGCTACCAGACATTATATTCCTGAGTTGCATTATATACTACTTATGTCAATATAAGTAGCACAAACTGCACTAGTAGCACTATTAGTAACATTATCGCCATAATGACAGGGGAGATACATTACAATATTGAAATTCATGCTTCAACACAATCTAACATCTTTAGGAAAAAACAGTTGACAAATGATCCTATTTCAGCTAAACTTCTAGAATAATTAATATGCATTATTGTGGGTAGATGGCCTTTGGAAGATAATGTAATCTTTCTAAAAGCTTGGGACAGATCACTTCACACAGGACCATAGTTCAATGGTGCATTTATTCATTAGATAGGTGACATGGTAAAATAATCATTGAATACATAGAGACAACTGATTACTCACATTACGAACACATCAGCGATTATACTTGTTTAAGTCACTGCTTTAGTCGTTGATTGCTAACATATTTGACCTACATTTCATGTCAATCTGTTTTCAGGTATCAAAAAAGAAATCAAATCTGTTCATTGTCCTCACAACTGAATAAGTGATCAATCGAATCATCCATTAAATTTCCATCCCTCTTCCTTAGTCTATTCTTCAAGTAACATTCCTTTAAACGGGCACTAATCAATCAATACTATGATATTATGGGTGCTCAAAATTTACTAATCTGTTACACCACTTATTGATGATTTCTGCTTGTTCTCTTTTATCCAAACAACTGTAATCGTTTCTTGAATAAACTACTCCTTAAAATAATAACCAATATCTAGGAAATGGATAGATTGTGAAGAACAAAGTTGATCTTGTTTGAACTATATCTCTAAAATTAATTTGACTTGATATCTTGTTCACCTAACTGATATTACAAGATTAAGTAGTCTATAAAGCAGTATAAAATTTTCATTTGACGCAAAATATCTTCATTTTACTTTATCAATCTTTCCAGAATCATTAACAACATCAACAAGGCATTTCGATGGCCAATATTGATATGACCTGGCCAACAACAATAGTTACTGTATCTGGTGAAAAAACAGTGTTTGGTCAACGTAGTAATAGTATAACAGAGAAATCATCTAATGACAATATACAAAAAACAATCAATTCATCTATGCAACATGATATTGAAAACTTAAACTTAAATCATTTGAATGAAGATGAACGTCAAAAGGTTTTATGTGTAGTAAAAAAAGACTTTGAAGTACGTGCTAAAGAACGAGAAAGATTGAAGTAAGCATTTATTCAATAATTTTTTATCTCTTATTATTTGTCAGTTACTAACCATATACAGATCGATATAAATACGAACTGATCCATAATTTGAAACAACAAAGTATCAGAGAGTTTAAGCAATAGGGATTATCACAATATGAATATTAAGTTAGTCAAATTAATAAAATCAATAATAAGGTGTAATCACAATTGATTGATCACTGAATGGTGATCACTGTCATGTGTATCAAGTCCCTCCTAGTGCACCAGTTCCCTTAAGATTACAAGTACCCCTTGCTGACGAGTGCCGAGTAGCACGAAACCCGGGTCCAGAGTTTCGTGTTGACTACCTCCAACCACCATCTTATCTTAATAATAAGGTGTAAATAATCAAAATAAATAAACAAAATCGATTTAAAATTTTCATAGAATAATTGAATATTCAAGATTTCAAAAAAGACTTTTATTAAAATCGAAAACCGATCTAAGTTAGACAATGATTGAAAGTTTAGAAGCATTGGATGGCGGTTCATCCTTGTATGGAACTCCTTAGTGGTGCATATTCACGACTCTGGGTTCAAGAATTGAACTCAAAACCTTCGGTCTTGTTAGCAAACACCTGAGTCAGAATTCGTGATATACATGTCTAACTCCAACCAATCCACGATACTGCATAACCCTCTTCCATTGTCTTTTATGGTTGTCTAATGTAAATTGGCTCGCAATATGAATAAAATTCAACAATTTCCCCAACCCCTTACTGACAATTAACAATTTTATCCTGAATTCACATGCTATAACCTTTGATTTGGTCACTTTTTGGATTATTAATTCGGTTACACAATTGTAGAACTTAAAGAGAATTTATTGAAAAGAATATTCTTCATTCATATATGTGTTCTAATTTTCAAACTGTTAATAGTTTGGCAAAATGCATCTTCGTGTGTATTTTCTGAGCTACCATCATCTGTAGTAAATTGAAAGTAGGATCACATTTCTTTATAATAAAAGCCTCTTATGTATATTGTGAACTAAAATTATCCATACCGATTCTCAGAAACAATTATCAATGAATTAAATAATTGATAACCATTAGTACTTTAATAGTAATTACGAAACTGAAATATGCCACTTTTGACCTTCAAATGACGCCAATGTTTAGTCAATCAGAATATAAACGATACATCTTATTACGTAACATCGCTGAAATGTTTAGAGATAGAATTAGAAATTAGATTTAAGATTTAGGGTTATGAATTTAAGTTAGAATTAAGGGTTAGAAGCTAAGAGTAATAGTTAAGAATAGAGTGGAATAATGCTTCGTAGCCATATGCATATATACTTATGGAAAGGATTCTTTGATTTTAAACAACAAGAACCACAAAGTTAACTTTAGAAAATTGATAAATTATGGTCTACATTCTTTAGTTTTCAAATGTTTATCATTTTGTGTGGTCTTATCAACCATTTTTGTTAGGTTTTAATCAAATCCTAATAAGACATAAGTTGTTGCTTTGAATTTCACACAAAAATCCAATAACCACTATCTTAGATCTGATTAGTTCGTCAGTAAGATTTACCTTCTTTATCGTGACATTTACTCTGGCAGAGTGTAATACAGAGTAAATTTACAATACTGATAGGATCATTTAGATTTACTGACACTTTATGATGATTTATTGGAAATAGTCGGAACGTCCGGGTATCTAGTGATTTGTGTTAGCCAGGTGTGATTGTGTAACAAGTTATATAGAACTGATTACTTCAAAAGCTAGAGCTGCGCTAGTCTGGTTGTAAAAAACCCATTAATATAAACAAACCTTCTCTATATTAGTAAAATTTACACTCTTTAGGCTGAGTATCTTCATTGTCTCCCTGTGTACAACAGAGAATTGACATTCGCAAGACCAGAGAAAAGATATTATTATCATTTTAAATCAATGCATTTGGTACATTTACAACATTCCATTCTTTTTGCTTAAATTACTTCCAGACAAGGAATTAAGTACTGATACAAAAACATGATGAGTAAGGAAGATAACTAATCACTTTGTGACACCGTACCTTGAATTAACAGGTACTTGTATAGTATTAGCTACTGCCAAAGTACTTGACTTCAAACAGTCGTAGGCTCAAACATCAGTTCAGGTACTTAAAGATTTGTCTCGTGACACAATGCCTCATTTCTGTAAGGTGCTTATTTCTTAACAAACTCTTATTCTTTGAAGATCCGACATCTATAAAAATCTATCTAAAAACGGCACCAGCGTAACAAATATACAAAGTTTTATAAAATGACATGATCATGGTAATAAGAATTGCAATTAATACTCCTTTTCTTGATGTTTCTTTTACTGGTCTAATAATATGCTTTCAATTGGGCTTTGGAACTGCATTCTAATTAATAGGAGAGGGGTACGGATGACAGAATTAAGGAGTTAAATCGAACACATTTACCATACATATCATGATGCTCTCGTTCGACAATTTATAAACTGATGACTTAACTTTCAGAATTACATTATGTTTACCTTACGAATTATTACCAACTATCAGATGGATAGTCTATCTCAGATACATCAACCTAAACTCGGTAAATTTATAATATTGACTGTTTATTGATTATAGAACATTATAAAAAGTTCTTAATTTTACTACATTTCTATTTCATTAATTTCTTTTATATACTTTTTAAAAAAATATATTAACTTAGCCGATTTCGTTCAAGTATTTTAAGACGAGATAGAGAATTGGCTGTTAAAAGTTTAACATCAACTACTGAAAGTACATCTTGTTTATTATGTGGACGTGCATTTATACCTTTGATTAATCCTAAACATATATGTTTCAATTGTCAACGTGAAATTTGCCGAAATTGTTCAGAATCTATGAATAAATACGATGAATTCTTATGTAGAATGTGTTTAAAAGAGAAGTGAGTTACATTTTTAAAAGTAGTCTAGTCTATATATATTCTGTGATAATAATGACAGATGTTGTCGGTCAGTTAACTACGATGTAGGACCAGGCACATATATGCATAAACTGTGAGATTGCTAAAAAAGGAAATACTTAGACAACATTTTATAGTTTATATATCCTAGTTTAAAACCTATTCTCTTCTTTAGTAGTCGATTTTACGATAATCAATAAAGTTCAACTAATGTGATAAAAATAAAACCAGTTGTATGTTACTTACTTATTTACGCCTGTTACTCCTCGTGGAGGAGCATAGGTTGCCTACCAGCACTCTCCATCCAAACCCTGTCTTGGGCAATCCTTCCCAGTTCTTTGCAGTTGCTATTCATCCTTTTCATATCTGCTTCCATTTCCCGACGTAATGTGTTCTACGGCCTTCCTCTTTTCTGCTTCCCTTCAGGATTCCAAGTTAAGGCTTGCCTTGTGATGCAGTTTGATGATTTCCGTAATGTATGTCCTATCTACTTCCAACGTCGTTTCTTAATATTTCCTTCAGCTGGAAGCTGGTTTGTTCTCTCTCACAGAAGGCTGTTGCTGATGATATCTGGCCAATTGATGTTGAGTATCTTGCGTAGACAACCATTTATAAATGCTTGTACCTTCTTGATGATGGTTGTAGTAGTTCTTCAAGTTTCAACTCCTTGTAGGGAACTGTTTTGATGTTCTTATTGAAGATTCTGATTTTGATATTAGCTGAAAGTTGTTTTGAGTTCCATATATTCTTCAATTGTAGGAATGCGGCCCTTGCTTTGCCAATCCTCACCTTCACGCTAACCACTTGTATGTAACTTTACCATAATATCATTCATTATATTTGACAATTGACAATATTAGTACCACCTTTATTATGATGATATCAACTAGAGTCACATTAGAACACACACAAAAACCAAATACATTACATTAACCGTATTAAAGTTTTAATAAATTAAACTTATGCGAAACTTAAGAAATATCGAAATCTTTTCAGTATTTAAGAAATTTAGTTAGTGAACAAAGAATATTTGTCTAATGAGCATTGAAAAACTCAAACTTACTGTCTAAACTAAATAATTTTACTCTAGTTGGATAACTGGCGATGACAATGAACTTCTGTTTTAACGGTGATATCAGTACAACTTTTCAACAAAGATCAATTCAACTCCTAAACATAAAAATCCATCACTTGGTTGATTACTCTAACTGAATACCTAATTTGAAAAGTTACAAACATTCTCATATTGTTCATCATTATTTTTATACCGGCAATGTTTTGATGGAACTTTACACGAGCAACTATATTTTGGACTTTGATTTTCACGAGGCTTAGGCGTATTTCGAAGGTGATAGACTACCAAACTGACTCTCGACCCATGATCACTTTCAATGCACTGGACTAACAAACATGGTTACTATAATCACCATCACAGTGCAAAGAACAGAAGAAAATGACGTTTAGCATGGAATTTGAAAATTTTTTAAAAAGTATTAAGTGTACTATAAAAGTAAGAACCCTCAATCATTCATCATCTCAACAATGTACTCGATATTAAGTTGCTTAGACTAGTGGTCACCTTGAAACTTGACTGAGAGAATTCAGTCAGCAATTAAAAACACAATGATTAATACTCAACAACTAATCAATTATAAAAACGGTTTTTATTATTCAATGATCCATGGAACCTTTTTCAAATGGTTACTATGTGATTTTGGAATATGCACTAAAATTTACCTGCTACATGATATTGGTAAAAATTCGTTTTTATGAGCCAACTTGAATTCATTCGTTTTTAAAAGTGAGTAATTATTTCACATATTTTTTGAAATGTTTTTTGTCCAGTAGTTAAAGTTTACAAATTCTTCTAGCAACAATTTTTCTTTCGTTTTAACCGGTTTCATTACTAAATTTGGCTAGTTACCAAGAAGTTGCAACGGCGATTTCATGCACTTATGTCCATAAAAACTTCAAACCCTGTTTAGCCACTAACATAAACACACTAAATGTAATCTATTCATTGTCAGGTTGACGAGGTTCAGCTATTAAGATGTTTTCGTTTTATTATGGTAGGAAATGTCTTCTTGATGTATGCTCAGAAGGAACATTTATAGTCAGGTATATAAAAATACACCATAGAAGCAACACGTTCATAAAGACATTAATTTAGAACTATACATTTTCATTTAAATTTGTTGTATAACACATATTAATGAGAATATGGTTAAGACAGTGTATCTAAGTTTTAGACAATAAGCAACAACTACTTTCTATAACGATATTCCTGTTCCTCATAGACAATCAATATATCAGCATAATTTCCTTGAATTTTCATTAACTCTGTAAATAATATACTTGATTAAAACCTGGAAATCTGTGTTAATTAAATAATCAAATCATACTTTTGGGGGGGGGAGTGAAGATTATTCCTTTTTCTCTTTGGTTGATGAAGAGCAGCCTCAATAATCTGATCACACGAGCGATTCCTTGAAATGAACATTTACTGTTAGTTGAGAAAGGGAACAACCAGGCCAAAATGTTTCAATCAATAGTTAAGTAACAAGCTCAGTTATAAGTATTCATTACTTGTAACCTAGAAACAGGTCAATAATAAATATTAAACAACGATTCTAAGAAAAGATGCTTTCAGAGGTTTATTTAAATCGAATTTAGTTTTTTTTGTCACTGGTTGGAAAACTATTGATTCGCTCATATATAAGTGAATAAAGCTTAAACTTTAACTCTTCAAGTTAGTCTACTTTTTACTGATTTTTACAGTCTAAAAATCAAACATTAGTCAATGGATAAATGGTCATAATTCAAAGAATAAGGTGAGTTGCTAGTTACGAACTAATAATAGCTGATTAACTTCATAGCTTATTGCCAATCAAGTTGACATAATTCTTACAAAATATACAAATATTATTTCCACTCTCTGTAAATGTCATTCCTGGTAGATGTGATCCATTGAGAAAGGAGATAACAAAAGTGAATAAACTTAAGTGATTTGTTTATACCTACGACAATAGATCAGCTAAAAATTATACCATCTTTGCATTGATAACAAAATTATTTCAATGTTTATTAATTATTACTACATACTAATTCTATATTATCCTCCTTTAAGTCAGGTCTAAGTAACCTAATCCACTATTTAACTTACAGGGACTAAAAACAGTTACTAACCCAATTTATCTTCATTGTTCAATATGGTTTTTCTACTGATTTCACATAAGTGAATAATTTCTATTTTTATCGTATTCAGAAATTATCGTGCAATGACATGTAATTGGTTTTACGAGACAGTAATTCAACGATTCAGAGAATTCGGTAGTACAACTGTTGCTAAAAGTTTATTTGGATCAACGTACAAACGTAAGTTTAGTATAATGTTTAATAGAAAAAAATTTGATTCAAAGCTTTCTCTGTATTATTATTTTTCGAAAATATCACAATCATTATTGCTTCAAAACATTTCCAGCTAAGATGTTTACCATATATATTACGTCACTGCCTACCATGAGCCTCTAAGCTAGTCAAAATAGTAGGACGTTGAAAAAGAGCTAGAATAGGCTTAACCAAGACATTGGATCATTCAACTAAATCACTGATTGTTGACCTACATAGCTCCAGATGGTGCACAAAGACTCTGCTTGAAAACCTTAGAAAAAAGAATTATTATGTGAATCTAGTCAATAGCACTATTGAACAAAGGGATGTTACAAACATTCAGACAGATTTTTCTTCCATTTAGTTTCCTACTTTTATTAATTAATAATTAAAAAGGCCAATTACACTTTACTATTTACTGAAAGTAATCACTTCATCAATAGTTACCTGGAATAATGACAACTGGATAATGTAGGTAGACTTTTTCTGATCAGATCAACTTTGGGAAAGATTTCCATATGTTAACCGCGTAAAGTGTTTGACTGATTCACCAATTACATCAAACGAGGACCATTGAAGTCATAAATATTAACTAATGAGTTATTCACGTGACGTGGAATCGGAAGATTAGAGTTAAAATTTTGTGAATTATATGGACTGTAGATGGAATCACAAACTAAGATAAAGTAGTGGTCCAGTCCTCCTTTCTTTTCATTGATTGTTTTAAAAGTTGACTTTAGTATGTAATAAAAATTAGCTACAGACGATGTGGCTTCTTTGTTAAAAATTATAAGTTCCTTTAAAATTCTCTGCGATCTTCATAATGTATTGATGAATGATACAAAAATTCAAAGTGTAAAGTTATAATACCACCATTGAGAGATCTAAAGGTCACAAAACTGAATATTTTCATATCTCTAGAATTACCCAATAGGGTAGAGCGTCATTTTCTCTTTAAGTTGTTCCATTCAAATATATTTCGTGAATCATATTTTATTTCCCTACTTTTACATTGTAATTTTAGGGATGATTGAAAATGTATTCAGAAATATTTCATTTTATCGACTAATATTCCTTCTGATGTAATCTTCTTACATTCCTGCCACTCAATATGATGTAAGACGTTCAGAGTGAGAGTCATCATATTCGTTGTAGATGCATACTAGTCGATATTCTCTTCTTCCCATTATTGTATCAATCTGTCCAGTTATATCGGTTATTTGATATGTAGAACCAGCTAAGAAAGGATTATAAACAAGCGTACAGTAGTACAATAGTTAAAATCAGGATTACTGTGAACTGGTTAATTAATTTGTAATAGTGAAATGGAAACTTACAATACGTAAATATTATTATAGTTCTGAACAACACTATTATTACAAATAGAAAGGAATGTTTTTATGGAATATGTTCACTGCAATATGTAGATATTTCAAATATCTTCGTAGTCAAATTATTGTTCATCCTTCTCTAGTTACAAAACGCATCATAAATGAACATAAGGGATTTGAAACGTTATCCATTAAAATGTTTTTGATTTAGATCATGAACCGATTGGTGTTAGACCACCATTGAAAACCTGGAAGCACTGGATGACCGTTTCATCCTATTGTGGAACTTCTCAGTAGTGCACATCCACGATTCCGCTCTCAGGGTTTTGAACCCAGGGCCTTCAGTCTCGTGCGCGAACGCCTAACCTCTAGACTACAGAGTTGGCATCCAACGGTGTTAATGTCTAATCTCAACCAATCTGCGAAATTGCGCGACCATATTTCATTGTCTGAAGTAGATACCTGTCTCTATTTAACACGAATTAGCTCCACTGGTCACGGTTTCTCACTAGAACTCCAAGAAAGAATGAACACTGCCGAGAAGTCCCACAATTGGACAAAACGGCCGTCCAATGCTCCCAAGTTTTCAATGGTGATCTAACATCAATCAGTTCATGATCTCAATCATAAACTTAATAATCTCCACAATCCTATACTGACCATTAAAATATGTTTGTCATGTGAATAAATAATAATCATTTTTATCATGAATATTATGCTAAATATTTATGATAATTATAAAATTAATTAAATTCGATAATTACTTCCGATTGATTTCTTTACATAATGATTTTATTAATTTTATTTATGTGAAAACATAATGAATACTAATACTTATTGTTCTGTTTTGCTCATTTTGGCTAATGATGTTTCGAATAATAAGTGATTAGAGGATATCAACAAAATCTCGTTACCAGTGGAGTTCAACCAGGTCTGTTGTGAGATAGTAACTCACTGAAGACAATGGTGTACGGTGGCGCAACTTCGTGAATTGGTTGAAGTTAGACATTAACACCGTTGGATGCCAGCCGGCTCAGGGGTCTAATTGGTTAAGCGCCTGGCGCGAGGCTGATAGGTCTAGGGTTCAAATCCCTCGGGGTGCGGGATCGTGTATGCGCGCTGCTGGGGGGTCCCATGCTAGGACGAAACGGCCGTCTAGTGCCTCCAGGTTTTCCATGGTGGTCTAGCTTCAACTGACTCATTGATTCCAACAAGTGAAAATCTCTGAAATTGCATTTCGTGCTAGTTACCACCTCTTGTTAGTAAGACTTACATGCAGTTTTGAGTGAACTGATGCTCTTTCTCTGTGGGATCTGAAACTGTGTCTCCCAGTTTAACATTGTGAGACTTTACTGTTGTATTTTAATTGCCGAGACTGACGACTTACATGAAAAAGGTATGTAAACTGATTGGTTGCTAAGCAGTTTTGTTTTTCTGGTCCTTATAAATAAATGAATTCCATTGATAATTATGTAATTCTACCACCAGTTTGAATAATCTGACATTCACTAAACTATGTTTCCCTTATCAGATAGTTAGCATAATCTATTGTCACGAAAGAAAGGAAATCTTTTTTTTATTCAAGTTAAGCGTCAGATATCGATCATATTAACACTAGTTTTATGTAGATATAACTTGCTTGCAAGTAGTGTAAATAGAAAGTGTATTTAATATAATGTTGTATCATGATTAGAAATTATTCTAATAAGGTCAAAAGCGTTGATTTTTAACGATACTGGTTTCGTAGACATTACCGTAAATGAGAAACAAATCAATACATAAAAATGTTTATTAATGTATAGGGTTATATTAATTTGTGAATTTTGTGTTTCATATCACAGACTAACGTTATTTAGACAGCTAGTGAAAACTAGAAAACAATTGATTGCCATTTTGTATTGAACTCCTTGATATTTTACATCTATGGACTCACCATAGATTGAACCCAGAATCTTTAGGCCTCCCAATGAGCACATAACTTTAAAACCACTAAATTAACAGGCCATGATAATACTTCTAAATCCAGTTGATTTGTAAGATTACCTAACCATCGTCTAATGTTATTCATCAGCATTCGTCTCACACTTGACACAATTGAACTTCAATGATGACAGCTTTTAACTAGAACTCTGATAAACACTTTTCTAAATTAATTATTAGTGTGCACATATTTATCCTCGGTATATGAAGTTATAGGAGTTAATTAATTTATAGTGCTTTTTAGTGTTTAATGGTCATCTAATTAAAGTCATTCCATCATTTAAAACTATGAAATACTTGTTTATTAATATGTTTGATAACAATTAATTACTAGTCAGTCGAATTAATTATTGATTTGTATATTTTAGAAGTTCAAAATATGGCTGAAGAAGAACTTTGGAATCTTTTATTTCGATCTTCATCATCCAAAAGAAACTCTATCGAATCGAGTATGTGTTTTATGTATAATTGTTCTTGTGTGTATATTCAAAATGATAAATTATTCAATCTTTTTATTTATTGTTTAAGTTTACAGGTATATTTTCGTTTCAGTTATTATTTTAAATCATCGGTTCAGTCAGTCAGTAACAACGTAGAACTTCGTACGTACCTACATCAGTTCGAGTTGCCATACCACATTAGCAGACAAATACAATTATCCATTCAAATCCCATAGTGGTAGAGGTAGTAAAAGTATAAGTAATATTAGAAAACATTAGGGTTTGAAAATGTTATTCAAGGAGTATAATCGAGTGAAATAAATTTGAAAAGAGAAAAAAGAAAGGGACATGAAGAATTCAGAAGAGTAGAATTTGGGAGAACACAAAGAGTGGATGCACCCGCGTCATTGAAAACGATTTTGAGGCATGTCATTCAAGGTCTCTAACCATCGGTTGCTATCGTCTGGCCGATCCCAACCAGGTAGTCTACACCTACCAACATGACTCAGTCCACTTGTCAGTAACTTCACGGATCTGTGCCATATTTTGGTTTGGCCGTCCCTAGCTTTCTTCCAACCTACTCCTACAGGATGAAACATCGTTCGTCGAGGCATTCGGTGGTTATGCATACGTAACACGTGTCCAAGCCATCTCAACTGATGAAGTTTCACTACTTCATTAATTGATTTGCCATCCTTACCTAGTACCCGATTCCTAACAACTGTATTACTCGGTGGTCACAGGATATACGAGCGATGTTTCGAAGACAGCTATGATCAAATACTAGTAACCTACGAATATCCTTTAATCTTACCAACCATCGGTTAAATATTTTAGTGTCAAAAATGAAATGAATTACAACAGTTAAACTGGATTTTCCTATCACAAGTAAATGAACTTCATCACACCACTAGTCATCTAAGTTTGTAGCATTAAAATAAGTTGTAAATTAGATGATGAGACTGATGTATAATTATATATGGAATGCTTCCTGCGTGACGATGAAAGTTTCTTAGTCAAACTATCTAAATTGGAGAAAACAACACCACTAAAAGAGTATACTTGATCTGTATATGTTATTCATTTTTTAATCACAATAAATGTTCCTACTTTAGACTTAATATGGAATATATGGAATGTGGCTTGCAATAGAATCCGGTACTAAGTTCGAATCCCAGAGTGATGAGTCCCAAATAAAACAAAACTCGCGTCTTCCATTCCAATACTTGCCATATTTCATCTATTCTATATACTACATAAAGACAATCTACACACAGGATGCACATATATATCAACAACGAGATAATCCAAACCATTTCATCATAATAACTAATTTACACTTGTCTTAATGAAATATCTATGCAATTATGTTATAAATTACATTCATATGTTATCATAATAACCCTATACAACTATTAAAATGCTAAATCCAATAAGATATAATGAAGAAGACACAAAAATGGTTTTTATAAAAACGAACACTTTCCCTGACATCTTTTTCTTTTGAAAATCAATGTGACATGAATAGATTAGGATCCATGCATTAAACATTATAATTAGTATTTGAAGACAAGAAAAAAAAACTAGTTAAAGCCTTTTACAGTTGAAAGTAAATGACAAACACAAATACTGTCGGTATACACAATGAACACATTGTCTCTCTTGGTGACTGTGAATGTGATCTTTTCTAGAATGGAATTTTTTTATAATTTTGCATATTTTATCCTAAAAAAAACAGAAAAAAGAACATTTTTTCTATCTGTAATCAACCATATGCTACTGAATATTGCGTTTAGTGTTAGCAACAGTCGCCAACCAATGATTAATCAGTTTTTTAATAAGCATAAATAAACTATTTAAGATTATCTTGTCAGTTCTAAGTATTATCAAAGAAAAATATGATCATTAGGAGTATTTGAATTGCAATACAAACTAGGAATCTCAGAAATAATGCAATCGGATCAAGAAGTACTAGAATTCGAAATCAAACATTCAACAAGTATAAAAGAATCGTTTGTTCATACAAACACCACATCCGTCATAGCTTAAATTGGAGTCTCAGTTTCTGTAATCAATTTACGTCTACTCCTTATGTTCATCCTATGCCTGTTCGACAGTGTATTGGATGTAGACTCTATATGACATAGGATGTATTCCCTAGTATTAGGACCAACAACTGCAATTGCAACGGAATCGATTGTGTACTGAAATCACTAATATTTAGAATTTGAAACATAGATTTTCCAACATTATCCTTCCCCACGAAATAATATTGGATCTTAATATCCCCAATTTATGAATGATGTGGCTTCATTTAAAACATATTTCTCACATTGATCAGAGTATACATTAGAAGTAACTTCATGATAAGGATAAATAACAGTTGATATGGAATCATCCGAATTTTAATCAAAATCGAGCTCATTTAGAATTCGTGCTTCGCATTGAACAAGTTTCCCACAAGAAGCAAATGCATTATGAGTATAAGTAATATATGATATGACATCAGGATTTGACTCTTCTGAAATATTTTCCTCAAACTTACCAAGAATGTCATTGCAGCGTGATGGATCGTTAGAAAAATCAGCATCTATCAAAACTACATCAGGTTTTCGGTCATGATTTGATTCACTCAACATATTTTCCTCCGATTCATAAGAAACTTCATCAGAAATATATGAATCATAAGGACAAACCATACCTGGTACAATAACATGAGAAATCTGATAAGAAGTTGGTTGATTAGAAACTTCTGTCTCACAATGATTCTGAGTTTCAGTCAGTTCTGGTCTGCTATGTGACTCTATACCGCTTTTCGAATTCGTGGATAGGATCACAATTACAAATTTTAGCATTAGTTGCAGCGGAATGAACCGTAGTGTAACAAACTGACTGAATATGTTCAATCTCACCACATTTAAAATTAAGAAATGAACATGATTTAAATGAGCGAAACCCACCACAGGACGAACGTTGACCAAACTTATGCCCATTTTCGTGAACTGCATTGCAGCTCCTCAATGAATTGTCTGCATTAACGTTGAGTATGCACTTGATTGAGATATCTTGATGAATCATTTTACGAATTCTTCCTTCTTTACTGCATTCGAAATTTGTATACTTAACAAAGTCTAGCAGTAGTTCCTTGAGAATTGCATAAAGAAGTGAAATAGGCTTTTCTGGTAGAGCTGTAAGCTTCATTGCCGATTAATGTGAGGAAATGTGCCACAACATTAACATCCTCAACATCATCCACGGTCATAGCCCAGATTTCGAAACTTTCCAAGTAACCCTCAAAAGCATCGAAATCTGAATGTATATACAATCATTCCAGCACAGGTTCCATCGCGACGTCAATGTGATAATTAGGAGTATTTGCATTATAGTACAAACTAAGAATCTCAGAAATAACGCAATTGGATCATGAAGCACTAGATAACTACGAAAGAATGTATTGTATTTGAAATTCGAAATCAAACATTCAACAAGTACAAAAGAATCATTAGTTCATGCAAACACCACAAAATACTACTTGATCTACTTTTTTTCTACTGTTTTCATAACAACAACAAAAAACAACATATTCATATATTATTTCATATTAAACATTTTAGAAGAATCCGACAAGTTTTATTCAGCAGATCAAGCTAGAGAAGCACAAATTAAAAAATTAAGAAATCGATTAGAAAAATTAATGGAAGAAACTTTATCTGAATTAAATGCTGTTGAAAAAAATGATTCATTATCACCAAGACAAATCACTTGGCAACGTAAGTTATTAATGCTAATAGTGTACTTTAATTTGCTTTGTTGAAAGTTAACAGTTACATTTAAAAAAAGAGAATACTGTTGGATAAAATGATGGGTCTTATCTATTGTTTATAAGCATTGGATTGTAATAAATTTGAAATTTATCAAATTATTAGTTCAGTAACCTTCTCAATTGTTATCAATCAGAATACATTTTAGAGTGTTTAAATCTTGTTTTGTACAGAAGTTAAACGTGTAATGATATTAGTCTTCTCTCAAGATACAACTATTCATTTCATTCAGTTTCTAAATCATTTGAAATGGCTGATCAATTTATACAATAAACATCTAGGTAGAAAGTAATATTTTCTAAGTAAAGGGTATTGTATAACAGTTTTTGTACCACAGTTGATAACTACAATTGAGATCATTTCAAATCTTTAGAAAGTGTCGTAACTCAGTAATAATTATATCTATGTTGGTGAATTTCTTAGAGGTAGATTGAACAGTTATATATAGTACGATTCAATACTCTGTGAGGTGAAGTACACTTAGTAATTGACACAGTGACTCAGAACTCCAATAATCAATGACAGCATTGTATCATCAAAACTGAATGACATTGAAAAGTTTGGCAACTAGACTTCCATTCAGTTGCTTGATGAGTTCGTGTTCACCTTGAGACTATTGTTTAAGTGTTATTTATAGTGTATAGGTGAAAATCATAACCCCTAGACCGATGATTATTAAGAGTGAAGCTGATCAGTAAACTTGTGAGTAGATTTCCTGTATAAATCATAATGTAAACATAACTCATATGTTACTAGTGTATATTTCAATATAATTTAATAAAAACTGAAACTTTCGATCACAGCATAATATGCAGTAGCTATAAACAGTTTAATATTAGTATTAAAAGGGGTTTTGTGGATAATATAGTAATTTTGATAGTTGGGATTATAAGTCAATTGAAGCTAGATCACCACGGAATACCTAGAAGCAATGGACGGCCGTTTCGTCTTATTGTGGGGCTCCTCAGCAGTGCGCATCCACAATCTCACCTCGCGAGATTCGAACACAGGACCTATCGGTCTCGCGCGCGAACGATCAACCTCTAGACCACTGAGCCGGAATCTAACGGTGTTAATGTCTAAATTAAACTAATCCACGAAATTGAGTTTAATATTAAACTTAATAAAAGGCATACAAATCACTAAAATTTCAACTTCAGTCAGTTCACTACAATACGTGATTTCCAACAAATTCTTTGGTTTCAGGATTGAAAATATAATTTACAGTCCATTTGTTCCTGGTTTGATAACTGGTAGGATTGGTTACTATGTTAAGCCCATATAACTTACTCTAGCTTCTGGACAGGCCAATTTATTAATTCTTCCTGAGTCACGTTTCGACCCTGTTAATTACTCATTTATCATCCTTGACTGTTTTTATATGAGCGTATGTGTGTTCATTTCCTATCTCAATAGTCACATGTTTATAACTTAATTCTGTCTAACTATAAATATTGATTCACGCATGATTAAAATGAGTTGGCTCACACACCCTCTCCACTGCGCGTCACTTTGTTCCACTCTCTTCTCTTCGCTTTCTTCACTTCGTTTCTTCGATCGTTTGTCTCGATTAACAATTGTACGAAATATACATATTCAATCATCCATTCTCGTATTTGACTTATTTGATTCCGTTATTTACTAAAACGAGTTAAGTCAATAATTATATACGAGGATTGGCGATATGTATATCTCAATAGCAATCAGAAGCGATCAAAATGGATTCAAATATATGGCCACTAAAAACGGATTCATTCAATCCATTTCAGTTAGTAAACACATTCCATATGAATAACTCAACAAAATATATACAGTTCCAACAAATTGCTGAGAAGTCCCACAGTAGGACGAAACGGTCGTCTAGTGTTTTGAATTTTCTATGGTGATCTAGTTTCAATTGACTCATGAGTTCAACTATTAAACTGTAGAATATAAGTTTCGTCTGTTCAATACATTGTATTCATTATATATATGTCTTCATTTCAAAATTAAGACAGTAGTTTTTTAATAAATAAAAAAATAACAAATGCAAAAGTGATTGCTTTTCTCTTTTTCTCCCTTGAGCAATTTGATTGACATTCCATTTACTGTTTTTTTTATACTTTTGAAGTGATTATTTCACCTTATTACTGTCATCTTGACTTTTTATCCCCCCGTCATTAAGTAAAATGATTGACAGGTAACTGAAAACTGGGGGATTCTTTTTGTCTTCTAAACCGAAAACATGAATAAACAAATTTTCAGATGATTAGAAATTTTTTTATATTTGAAACTGAAAGGAAAATATAAAAAATAGAGCAAATCAAATTATGTTGTCAAGTGTAATAATAATCATCATAGTAACAACTTGGATTGAGTATTAGTAACGGTAAGGATTTCAGTCATCTATTTGAAGAGTTAATAGGTTATTAAAGACTGATCAGATTCACTCTTGAAAATATTGATTAATGAGAATATACAAGTTCTGAAAATTGATAATGTATAGCAACTATCCTACAATCACTTGGTATTGTTTGGCTTGTATCCTCCCATTGAGGTTTAAGACTGCAATTGATCAACTCTGAGATGCATGTACATCCAGCCGACGAGTCCCAGATAGAACGAAACGCGCGTCCTCGATTCCACTGTTCGCTACTATCCATCATTGCTTACAATAAGCTTGTGAATTAGGCGATATCGAGGCATACGCACAGTATGCACATATGCCAATAACAAATTGATCAGTTGCAGTCTTAAACCTCAATGGGAAGCCACTATCCATCACTGCTTACAAAATATCCTACAATCAATTTCGATTATGGTTAATTTCGGTTAACTTAACAGACAATGTTATTTGGGCAGTAACAATCCGTCTATTTATTTATACTGTTATGATCACTAGATCACATGATAGACTCTAGCTAAAATGTTGATCGCTTAAATATCACTCGATGATTCATTCTCCTCCCCATGTATATATGTACTCAAATCCTATTTTTAGCTTTTGCTGTGCCTTTATACAATTTCATTATGAATTTGCTCGTATATACTTATTCGCCTCTCTGCTTCAAATTTGTTTTATGTATTTTGTAATCTGCGCTAACCACGAATAAACTGTAGTCGCCGCCACTGTAGTTGCCTTCTGATTTTAAACACTGTTTAGATTTATTTTATAACGGTTGTTGAGGTGATTGAATAACGAAACAAAGCCATTACAAATGATATATCGTGTAGTAAATAATATTATTCAATAGCATAGCAGAGATCCACTTAGCTTTTACAGTATATCAGTAAAAGATCCTAGTATAATTAGAAAATGTTCTACATGAATATTATACGAGTATTCACTAGAAACTTTTGTTTCTGTGTTAAACATTATCAGAATAGTATCTGGTGTAATATGTACTCGGGATACTCATTTTTAACCTTGAGTTATAAATTCTAATATCCATATTTTTCACTTATAATAGCTAATTTCTACTAGATCAGTTTTATGAGCTACATTTAAACCAAATCCTTAAAAATATAAATTTAAGAATGACCAAAGTTTATCAGTTAAAAAGCAATAGAAGACTCTACTATCATCAGTTATACAATGAAGAAACTTTTAAATAATATTTTAGTTGCGAAGCTTCCCTAACAGCATTTACGTTATTATTATTATTATTATTATTATTATTATTATTATTATTATTATTAGTTATTATACTTCTGTATTGAATAGAACGTTGTATCAGTCATAAAATCCTACCCTGTAACTAATCACTCTTCTTATTAATACCTCTAGACAAAGTATTATGTAATATACTAAGTTTGTAGCAATATACACTCATTTGATCATCTTTTCTTGAAATATAAAACTCTCTTTAAAAGTCTGATATTATTATGATTACTTAGATGCAGCTTTCATTACAGTAGTGCTGTTTTGTTCCCGTTGATACCCCTAAGAGTTACACGAAACCATAAACACTGTATGATACTAAGAATCACAATAAATTTCCACTGTAGCTAACGAAATATAAAAATAATATCCTCGGGTTATTCACACACATTCTACTCTGTTATAGTTTATTTAACTTCTGATGGTTTTTATGACTTTGTACACCAATATTGTTTGTTATTTAACATTGAATAAAATTACAAAGGAGAAATAATATTTTCCATTTCTCCTTAAGATGAAAGTGTGGGCATGAAGTTTAAAAAGAACGCCTGTCGTGAAATGAGAAATTTCATTCAAATTCTCTACATAACAACTGAAAGTAAGTGGAAGTTTTTTAATGTTCTCACAATTATATAACTATTTAGATCATAACTATGCAATAAATTGGTGCAATACATTCCCGACAGTTTTATCATATATTGAATTGTTAAAACATTTATAGATAGAAAGTCTAATGTTGATAGGACAGATTGAAAGTAAGAGAAAAGTTAAGGCAATCATCAAAACGATATTAAATGCCATCACAAAGTACTAGCACAAAACAACTCTCATTCAAAACATAGGTTTCTTGAAACCCCAACTGTATGATGGTTCAAACCCCCTTATGTCCAAAAAAATCTGCACTTAAAGTAAACTTACCCTGGTAAGGTTGAGTTATTATCCGGAGTGGTGTGTTTCGTGTCCTTTTACTTATGATCATTGTTTTCCTCTTATCTTTCAATCTGTTTGGTCGACCTTCGGATTTCTATCTGCAAATGTCTTCACAAGTAAATTTATGATCAGACTGTCAGAAGTGTATTGAGCCAATAAATCACATATTTCTAGTTAACTTCGCATTTTCATTGCATTATCTAAATTTATCAAAAGAAGGTAACTTTTAAAGTACTTAAACTTGACATTTGTTTTTTATCTAACTACTGATTAAATTTATACGAATATTCGTCAAGATTAGAACGAATAGTTTGACAGTAATTGAGCGCCGAGTATAGAGAAGTCATTATATGTGAAAATTATATTTGAAATATTCTCAGCGATTGAAATTTAATTAATTCCAACGTTTCGTCCAGCTAACTTGTCTGGACTTCTTCAGGGTAATAATCGAAATCAAAATTATCAAAGAAATATATAGCTTTTAACAATCAGGATTATACTGTGTTAAACCAATCATATTTGGGTGTTGATTTTTTGTAAAATAGGATAAAATGAGTCAGTTGACTACAAATCATGTGATGAATTCAACTACATGGAAATACTTAACTGAGTAACAAATCGTATGTGTGTGAGTGTGTATGTATGTATGTATGTATGTATGTATGTGTGAGAGATTGATATGAAGGAATAAATAAAGTTCAAGTTCAAGGATGAAAAACTTGATAATGAAAGATCGATGTGCATGTCAAAACATAAATAATAATAATAACGATGCATGTGATATTAAAAACAGGTTTAAACAAGAGATAGGTTCCAAATTTACTTGTCAAACGGAATTTGCCAGGTAGTTGCCATTTGAATACTATCTTTTCGGTTCAGGCTGTTCTTGTTCGCCCATATATGCAGGGCTTCTGCTGTCAATCTTTCTTTATGGGTGTTAAAACCTTTCTGAAGTATTTTGGTCCCTTCAAAATTAATCTTGTGTCCTGTTTCTATCGCATGTAATGCTATCGCTGACTTATTTTCAAGTTTCTTTAAATCTACCGAGGATTTTGGAACATTTTTCAAGCATTTTTTGTGTTCCTTCAATCTTACTGATTAAATTGCTAGTAGTAAAAATAAATAAATAAACTTTTTATCTCTTGAGTAGCATTTATGTATATGGTTTACATTTTCAAGGCACTATTAGGATATACAGTTAATTAAAGTGTGTTTACTCTGTTCAAACTAGTCCAAACAGCTTTTCAATATCAAATCATTCCACTGGTATTCATATTCATTTATTTCGGTAGGATTCTTTAACTAAATAAGCTACGTTCATTATTATTTATACCTCTTATTTATTGAAATGTATATAAATCAATAGACCGTTAAAAACAAGCTATATTGCTTATCAAGCTAGAATGAGACTTTATTTGACGAGTTTGTCAAAATAGGTTTCTTCTTGAATTAACTTAGTGATGCCAGTCCGAAATAAACATGGTATATCATGGAGTACTTCTTACACTCTGTTGAGAAGCTTAATTTAAATATTCATCGTGTTTTTGAGAGTTACGTTACAAGACAGATTATGACTATTTCTTTATAGATATTGTTGATTTCCACCAATTATGACTTCCTGATGGAATTTCAGGAATCTATGTCAATGTTTGTCACCAGCAGGCTAACAACTGCTTCGTTAGTTTACTTCAGTTTCTTGAAGGTTTTTTTGGAATAAACATATGATTTACACATATTTTATCAAAAAGTTTGAGAATTAATAAAAAAATTTGCCACTTTCCACAGGCATTTGGATGTTTTATTGTCAATTACAAAATGGATATTGTTTAACAAAGAGCATTAGTTTTCAAAACATTCATTATAACGTGACAGTTTTCTTGATTAACGAAGTTAAGTCTACGAAAATAACTAAGGGCGAAAAGTATTCACAATTAGTCAATCATGACCAATGAAAAACCTGGCATACATGTGTATCGTTTAAAATTGTCAAACGTATTAGCACAGTGATATAAATTTACCAAAACAAATACTTAAGTATTATAAGTAGAAATAGTATTAGCTGTATTATTTTCAGCCACAGAAGATGAGCCATGTGGTATATGATGAAAGAACATTTCTGACTAAAACACCACCTTGATGTATCTTCCATATCATTCCTTAAGTAAAATAAATTGCTCCACAATTGTTAAGAATATATATATATATATATATATATATATATATATATAAGAAGTAATTCCCTTCAATTTAACGATATAATGAAAGGATACTAAAAGTGTTATGATTTCATCAACTTGGGAAAATAATGAAAGACGAAACTATTACTGTTATCTCTTACTCCACATATAATATATCCTCCTCTCCCGTTACGTTATTATCGCACGAACAATACATGGCGAAAATTTCCTCTTTTCATCAAATATTTAATCAGAAAATAATACAACTAATCACAAGTTCTTTAAAATTTTGTTTCGTAAATCAAGTGAAGTGAGTGACTATTTGAGCAGATTAAACTTAGATCATTAAGTTGACACCTCCATGATTCACAGTTCTATTTGTTATATATATAAGCGATAAAACACTATTATCATTGATTGTTTTCAGTAATACCTATCTTACTATGGACATGGTTGAACTCATTTATTGTTAAATGACTGATATTTTGAACCATAAGATATGACGAAATTAAATAATGCTTTAAATGCAAGCTTTCATTTAGACAGGTAGAAAAAGCTGTTTTAAACCAACCATTTGATGGGCGATTTCTGAAGATATACGGCGTTTCGTTTACACATCTTTTAGAAAACTTAATTACAACTAACTTTAATGACATAAAGGAGAATGAAATAGTTTTTTCGGTATAGATGATGTATCCGTCTACCTATTAAAAGTTGGGAACATTATACAGCAGTTTACTATGTAATGCCTTATGGCTGATAAATACATCCTTAAGAAGTGAAAGACATTCATAATTTGTTAGTATACGATTTTAGATGTCTTTGAAGTATTGGTTGAGTTCAGTGACAGAACTAAATAAGTGATAATCACCAAAGGCCCAAGTAATGAGTAGAAATGGTAAATTACTTGATGACAGTAGACTTTTGTTATTAATAAGGCAGCCATTTGCACCTACTCACTCTAACAGCCAGCACCGAGGGAGTTGGAACAAAGTAATGGACTATTATATCAAAATATTACTTCAGCTCACCTCTATTTTTGGCTAGTTTGAAGAAACATAATTACAATCTATCAGTTGATAATATAATATACTTTAAAATTTACTGATCAGCAATTCAGCCAACCCGAAAAAATGATGTGCTCATGAGTATTTTGTTGACTGTAATGATTGGGATTAGTTAATATTAAAAGCATTAAGGCCTCAAACATATTTGTGCACCCATGAATCCGACCACCCAGATAACTCTGTTATAAGACTGGTGTTTCTCTTGACAGTAAACTAAACGATCAGATATATAAAGAAAAACTTGCATATCTACATACGAATCACAACATATCACCTCAGTAATAATGTCTCCGCCCATGAAATTTTATTACGTTGGTTCTAATATCACCGAAAGCCCTAGTTCCCCCAAGATTTCAGGAACGTCTTGCCGATAAATATTAACTGACACGAGACCTAGGTTCGGATTTTCCTACAGTTTTCCTAATTTTAACTAACTGACGTTAAAACATAGTGTACTTGACGTGTAGTTACTTAGACTAACGTTCACATTGTGACGTGATCGACAGAATGTCATTAGTATCCAAGATAAAATTCTGAGATCCTAATTATTGTATAGAAAGGCAATGAAATCTTTACAATTAAGTCAGTCAGTGCAGAAGATTTAACTAATCACTAAAAATATCTTACTAAGCTACAAATATTTCCTTGATAGATACACAGATACAAGTGATGCATTTGTCACAAATAATGATCAATAGTTTTATTATTAATTCACTGAATATTCCGTTTTGATCACTTAGAAACTAATAAGAAAGTTAATACTATTAAAATTACTGATATTTCAACAAGTAATGCTTAATATTTCATCATGCTTTATTTTCTATCTACTCTCCTATATTAAATGTAATATACTAGAGGAACGAATGAGTCAAGGTATGAACACTAAGAATATTACTCCATACGTAATGGATACTTTAGAAGGTGAAATCGGTCGAATAGTTGGATATAGTGTGAAGGTACGTTTTTAATCTGATTTAAAAAAGATAATACTCTTTGTTCCTTACTCTTTCTTCTTTACTTAAACTTTCAACCATACTACTTTTATTTACTTATTTAAAAACACAAACCTTGCTACAAAGATGCACCAAATAGATATGTGCCATATAAATCATTCCATTTGTGTGAGGGCTGTGATACTGCCCGGGTTCCCAAGCCAAAGCAGGTGGTTTTCTTAGGGGGCCACACTCGGAGCCTTCGACTTAAGATTTGATCCACAAGGCAATGGAGCAACGTAAGGAGATGCAATCCCATGTTAGCCGGTGACCAACAAGAGGTTCATACGCCATTTGTTACCTCAGGATGCCGGAGCCCATGTGCACCACTGGTTTCGAAACAGGATTTTCCAACCCCCCCTAGGTGGACTCTCTGTGTCTATTAACCCAGTTAAAGAGTCAGAGATTAGCTTTGCATCTTCTCAATTTTGTAAAAAGCATCCATGGTGCGAGAAGGCAGTGAGTAGGACTTCCCTGACAATGGTTGTATGCACATGGCCATTTGAGAGCATTTCGAGAGGGAGAGCTGACTCGTCCCACTCTCGGCCATACCAGGGCATTTGAAGGCAACCAAACTACTTAATTACTAATTAACTGAATATAAAACAATCTTATGTTATACAAAAAATAAAATTGTTCTGTTATATCTGGTTCCCTGATTGTTGTATTATAACCATTTCAAGGTAAATATTACAAAAACTGTAAGAAATCATTCATAAGAAACATAAATAATGATGGTAAAGAACTCAAATTTTAAACAAATTCAAGCCTAAAGAAATTAGTTCTTTTTGTTGAAAACCGTTCTCTTTAAGATAAATAAAATGGATTAAAGACCTTGAGAAAAAACCCAGTAACCTGAACAGTATCATCATACGCTGTTAAGTTTTGCTTCCTCTCTGGAACCAGATTCCAAAATTTTGACAATCTGTTTTTATGAATTGGCTTTTATGAGCCATCCAATTTTTATGATCATCCCAGAAGTGACTATGATGAAGACTTATTGCATTACTGATTAATGTAACGGGATATGTTCTAGTGTCCAGATATCAATTTGGTAGAAATTTTTTTAAAAATGGAATACCCTTAGAAAAAACTCTTGGATATATTTATCAAGTTGAGCTTAATGCATTTACGAAAATAATTATGACATGTATACTAAAATAAACCATTAACTGAAAGATCATGATTTCTACTTTTAGTATTCGGTTATATTATGGTATTTAAGTTTACTATCCTTGCTAAAAGTAATATTGAACAAATGTTATTATGTATCCTCAGGTTCACTTTTTCATCTATGTACACTTATGGAAACTTGAGTTCAATACTGTGTATCACGGCGATAACGTGTTGATTTTCTAGTTACTAAGTAATGCATCAAAATATTTTATTTAGTTTTTCCAAAATATGTAACTTATTTTCAATTTTCTGAATCTATGTGATCCTGATAAATGGATCACTTACTTACTTTACTTACTCCTATTACTCCCAATAGAGCATAGGTCACCGACCAGCATTCTCCTACTCACTCTGTCCTGGGCCTTCCTTTCCTATCCAGTTGTTGTTAATTCTTCTCATTTCTGTCTCCATTCCTCGGCGCAGTCTGTTCTTTGGTCTTCCTCTCTTGCTTTGACTTTGGGGATTCCAAGTGAGGGCTTGTCTTGTGGTGCAGTTGGGTTCTTTCCTCAATGTGTGTCCTGTCCACTTACAGCTCTTCTTTCTGGTTTCTTCCTCCGCTGGGATCTGGGTTGTTCTCTCCCACTTTAGGAAGTTTTTATATTGATGAAACACGTTTTAATGACCCGATATGTGACTCGAGTTTAATCGTTTTCTGATTCTTATCAAATTATACATCCCACCAATCCTCGTTTATTCTTATCGACTTAATTCACGTTAAAAAATAACGGGATAAAAGAAGTCGAATACGAGAATAAATTTTGAATACGTATATTTCATACACTAACTGATCCAGACAAACAATCAACAACAGGAAAACGAAGTCAAGGAAGATAAGCAAAACGTAACGAAAAGAAGCATTTCGTTGAAAAGAAGCTGAAAATGAAGAGATGCGCAACAAAGTAAAACAATCTGGTTGTGACATTATTTCATTTTATATTTTTGTACGATGAGTCTTTCTAATTAAACGCTACATTTGGCTCCTAAGCTCTTCTAGTAAACTCTAGGCTCAATCTACACAGCGACTTGAACACAAGAAAACGCTCTACTCCAAAGGCTCGTTTATGTACAGAAAACATAGGGTTTTTATAGTATTTTAGTTATCCTTGAGTTTCGCGAAAATTTAGAAATGCTACTAAACATAGTAGCAGCATAAGTAGTCACCCAATAAGAAACTCAACATGTGACTTTTCAGTTTCTTGATGTTTCTGGCAAAACTACTAATGAACGCTTATTGTATGTGATGCTTCTCAGTGTTTTCAGAACCCTTGTTGGCTTTTTTCGAGGAGTTTTCTAGATTTCCTAACATGTACAAAATTTGTTGCATAAAAACTACGTTCAAAATGAAATTATAATGCATTATCATATTTAATCATATAAAATTTAATCACATTTTAAAGACAAAATTTTATTATTATCGTTATTATTATCGATTTGAATTGGATAGGGTGTTACAGATACAAACAGTTTGGCTGGTGAAGATGATAAAGAATCCGTTACAATGGTTGATCGTGATGGTGTAGAAGGACGATTGGCTGAAATTCTTTTCAATAAAGTATTTATGAGCTTTTCTTTTTAATAAGAATTTTCATTATGAACTGTAACTACAGAAGAATATTTTATGAATTATTTAGGTTATGATCAATTAGCAAAGTAAATATGAATAGACTAGGTTGAATAATAACTTACCAAAAAAGCTGAAGTGATAGACATAGGATTCTGTCAGAGAAAAAAATGTTAAAAGACTAAAAGGCTCATCAATAAAACATAAATTGTTTCGTACAATAAAAAATTAACACCGTTGGATGCCGGTCAGCTCAGGGGTCTAGAGGTTAAGCGGTCGCGCACGAGACTGATAGGTCCTGTATTCGAATATCGCGAGGCGGGATTGTGAGTGCACACTGCTGAGAAGTTCCACAATAGGGCGAAACGACCGTCCAATGTTTCCAGGTTTTCCATAGTGATCTAGCTTCAATTGACTCATGATCTCAACCATTGAAATTATTATAATATCCGCAAACCCCTTCTGATATAAAAAAAACGATGTGTTTAAATGGGAAACATTTACTATAAAAATATTCACATCTAATATTTGCATTTAAATTTAAATTTTCAAAAGATTCGGCTGCTCTAGGCCATTTGTCAGTGCATAATAATAATAGTGACATAAGATTATGGTTGAAGGTAGTCGACAGGAAACCCTGAACCTTGATTTCGTGCTGCTTGGCACTCGTCAGCATGGTGTACCTGTAATCTTCAGGGAACTGATGCTCCCTGGATGATTCGATCTCGTGTCACCTTGCTTCACATTCAGAAACGTTACCACTGGGCTATTCGGGCCGTGAATGACCTCCTGTAGGACTGAGATGTATTTACAATTGGTTGATCACTGGGTGGTGATCACTATCTTGTACGTCAGGTCCTTCTTATTGCAGATTGAATCCTATCGACTAATAGTGAATTATGTGGTATATACTCTCGACCCCAGACAATTTTTATGATAGCACGATCCCTATCTAACGTCATCATTGCTAATGCCAAACAAGGTTGGAAAATTTATCAAGTGACTCCTGATTCTTATTAGTTTAGCGAATGTCATTGCAACATACAGGAAAATTGTCGTCAAACCATATACCAGTAAAAATTCATTTTGTATTGTTTGAGTTTTGGGACTGCAATTGATCAGTCTCTTATTGACATTTGTGCATCTTGTGCGGATTGTCTGGATATTGCCTTAAGACACAAGCACGTACACTCAGCTGACGAGTGCAGAACAGGACGAAACGTGCGTCCTGCATTCCACTGATAATCGCCATCCATCTATGCTTAAAGTAAGATAGATTTTTAAATTATTTAGACAATTTCAAAAAGTTAATTTATCCATCACAACAAAAACTTTTGAGCATATTACTCTTATACAAACGATAGATAACAAAATAATCCCGTTTATTTCACCTATCAAACAACCAGTTAAACTAAAACACTTTTGGTGTTGATGAATTCACTAAGACAGATGGTTTAGTTTCAAAGTCCTTTTTTGTCTTCCTGAACAACAATATCACGCTTCGCCACAATTAAATAATAAATTTAAGTACAAATGAAGATAACGAAACCTACTTAGACAACAAATTATAATGAGGGTCAACAAAAAGAAATGACCTGACGCTCATGGAATAGCTAGGAAGCTCATTGTTGGTCCTGATTATGTTTTCTAAAATGACAAAGATACCCTAATTAAGCTATATAGCTAAGAAAACTCATCAACACTAAATTATCGTGATAAGCAATTGGGATTTTAATAATTTGAATAAATCACACCTCTTTATGTTAATGGGACTAAATAAGTGAAACGTTCAATGAGGGAATAGAATTCCGCTTTTTACAATCAGCTGTTAATCACTTGATATTAGACATAACATTGTTTTATCTATCTCTGGTTCAAGGACCTATGATTGATGACTTACATACATCAATGTAAGATAATATCTAAGCCCTTAATATACATAACGTTTCAGTTATTCCTTATTAACGCTGAGGACTTAATTTAAAAATGAAATGGGTCCGAGTCTCAATGTAATTATTAAAGGTGGGTTGAAGGTACATTTATCAGACAAGTCCCAAATAAGACAAAACGTATGTTATCATTCCACTATATGTCACATGTCAAATATACTAAGACATGTAATATAAATCTTTATTGAAACACGTACACATGGTAACAATGACTAATTAAGTGAAGCTTTAAATATCAATTTCAAAAAATTATAAGTTCTTATTAATAAGTTCCGATTGGTAATTAATTACGGATCTGAAAATTTAGTAACGTTCTGGCAACCAAACGTACAGAGGAATTCCGAGTAGCGACTACAGTTATATCGAAAGGAAAATTGTATGTGTCATATGCATCAATAACCAACCCTTAAGTTGGTATAAACAATATGGTTAAATAATGATTATCTAAAGAAAATTCAACTATCGAATAAACATTAAAAGGTAGAATGACTGGACATTAGAAAATGAGTTGTTTTATTGAGCATAGTTACACTAGTCATATACACAATTTTGTCAAGATTGTGTGAACCTGATTTAAAAAGCTAATTCAAAACATAATTATAGGGTTTGAACTTTGGTAGACCATTTACAATCCAATGAATTTGAAATCTGACTATATCATGCATGATCACTACTTGTTTCATGCCAGTCAGTCAGGCAGTCAGTTACAACGTAGGACCAGGCACATATATGCAACGGTCCAAGTTGTCATACCTCATTAACACAGCAAGATGAACACCGGATTCATAAATGTAGTTAAGTCAGTGACGGTAATATATAAAAGAAAGATTGCAATAAGGATATAGTACGCGAAGGAAAAATTAGTTAGTAGAATGAAAGATATGAAGCGATTTTAATCTCTCAGTTTAAGGGAAGACAGAGAGTGTATACACCGACGCCATTGTGATCGATTCCGAGCCATGTCACCAAGAGTCTCTAACCATTGGTTACGACAGTCACGCGGACCCCAACCAAGTAGTCTGCATCTATCAACACGGCTCAGACTAGAAGTTAGTGACTTCAAGCACTGATGACACGTTTTGGTTTGGCCGCCCCTAACTTTCTTCCAACCATCCCAAACACCGGTTAGCATTGCACGTCGTGGTAATTGGTGTTTAGGCACACTCAACACGTGGCCCAACCATCTCAGTCGATGAAGATTCACAACCTTGTCGACTGATTTACCATCATTCCCTAATACCCTGCGTCTAACCTCACTATTATTTACCCGGTGATCCCAGCAGATGCCAGCAATATTTCTAAGGCATTTGTGGTCAAATACTAGTAGCTTACGAGTATCTTCTACTCTTAATGGCCACGTTTCGCAGCCGCAAATTAAAACAGAACTGACTGCCGCGCAGTATACTCGTCCTTTTATTGATAGACGGATATCTCGCCTTCGCCATAGGTGACGTAAGTTGGCAAAAGCCAAGCGAGCTTTTCGAATCCGTGCTGAGATTTCGTCAGACACTAACCCATTAGGGCTGATCAGACTTCCAAGAAAAGTTAAGTTGTCAATGCGTTCGACTACTTCAACTTATTTCATGTAGTATAATGTTACTGTCAATCTAATTCATCCAATTTATTAGTCACTCTTTATTTCATTGCATAAAATATTCACGAGGATATGTATGTTTAATGATTTGTTGATGAATTTTCTTAATTCTTTTCAGCTCTATTCCGACATTAATTCTACGAAACAAGTGAGTTACTTCTTACTAACAATAGTCGAGAATGAAATAATAATTTCCAAATAATCTTAGACATAATTCATGAATATGCATTATCTACAATTGATAATGATTGAAAATATGAACATTTCTATATCAACTCAATTAGATCATACACTCAGTAAGAGTTAAAGTTTCTACCTTCGAACTAAATATGAGATTGTCATCTCATATTGATGAAATGTTCAATTGTCGTTTGACCAACACAAATAAAATAAAAATACTTTATTAAATTTAGATGAAGTTTTGTTGTCTTAGATGGATGGTTTGTAATAATGCTGTTGTTCACATGAATAATGAAAGCTTTATGAACAAACTATCTAGATTAGAGAACAAAACTCCATCTAAATCATCTACCTAAGCTACAAATCTTCTCCATTATCTCAACTTTGTTAAATATGCATTTATGTTCAAAATCAACTTCAATGCTTATTTCACAAACATGATTAGTAAAATTTAAAGAACATAAACACTGAAGTTCATGACACTTTTCAATCAAGATATGAAGTTTTTCAGTTAATAAACTTCCTTTTCTTGATGCATCATTCAGTTTATAATATGTAGATGTCATCAAAGATAATTTCCATGACATCATCTGATTCATTGTAAATATTTAACAATTTTTAAAAAGATACGAACTTGACACAACAACAACAATACAAAAATGCAAAAATTATTGTTGACGTTAAGGATTTGTCTAAAGGAAATTAACCACAAACCCTTCCCTTTTTCTTCGTTTACTAACCTACTCTATTAATTCTATTGATGAGGAATCAGTTAACAAGTTACTTATTATACACAATCGGTAATGTTATTTTAACCGTGAAAATTAATCAAAAGAAAAAAATCATACCAACTCTGCAACAGAATAGTGTTTATTTAAATAGATGAGATCATGAGTCAATTGAAGCTAGACCACCATGGAAAACCTGGAAGAATTTGACGGCCACAAAACCCTTCTCTGATTATAATCATTATATGCTCACTAGTGACGGTCTCCAAGAGGTATTGCATGGAGTTTCTAGTGAGAAACAATGACCATTGCAGTTCAACCTTGTCTGTTATAAGATAGTAACTCACTGATGACATTGTTGGATGTGTCTCTCAATTTCTTGAATTGGTTGAAGTTAAACATTAACACCGTCGGATGCCGGCCAGCTCAGTGGTTTAGATTTTAATCGTTTGCACGTGATACTAATAGGTCCTTGGTTTGAATCTCGCGGGGTGGGATTGTGGATGCGCACTAGTGAGGAGTCCCACAATAGAATGAAACGGCTATCCAGTGCTTTCAGGTTTTCCATGATGATCTAGCTTCAAATGATTCATGATCTCAACTATTAAAATTACTATAATATCCACAAAATCCTTTCTGAACAATGTTAAGTTTGTGTTTATTTTTATTTTAATTCTATCCATGTCAGCTCTTTTTTATTCTATCTATAATTTTTTTATACAATTCAATTCTCTCATCCATAATTACTGGGTTGTTTATTTTTCTTTCTTTCTTTCTTTATTTCAATTTAGGAGACTGTTAAAAAGTTTTCATTTCAAACATCTAATCCCATAGTAACTAATACAAATTTCAATAAATCATCTTACAATTTCATGAATCAATCAAATCAAAAAGATGAACTCAATGTTACAGAAGGTTTTCCAATTCGAATGGAATATTCTTTACCATATAATGAACAATGCGGTGAGTATTAATGAATAAAAAAATTTTTAAAAATCTTAATAAACGTTCGAAACTTTTCTTAAACCCTTCTGTAAGACCACAATTAAGTGATCAAGTAAAGTATTGTTTAGCCAATACACGTCAACTGAAAACAGCACATCCTCAATGACCTATACTATGCTGCATAGCCTAAATGATGTTCAAAAGTGAAACTGATATAATGATCAACTCGAGATATGTCAAGTGAGAATTAAGTCTAATAGTCAAATGTTCATCTCCTCATCTTTACTCCTGTGCTAAATATCTTATTCATAAGTATGTGATTTTATGAGAAAAAAACTTTTATCCCAAGCAGCTACATTATCCTTTGTTTTCTATTCAATTTATGGCTTTCATCAATAATTCATTCTTATGATCAGACAATACTCGGCTACACTGTATCACATCATATTGTCAATCGATTGGTATTTCTTCATTCATTTCAAAAGTATAATAATGATAATTATAACACTTCAAAATTTCTATGTAATGAAGACTTGTAAGCTGATAAACACAAAAATAAGTCACCACATCTTCTATGGTAGATTTGCATATCTTATGAATTTTTCAAGATTAATACTTAATTCTTAATAAGGAGACAACTAAACTTAAGATTTATTTCATATAAGATTAGCTATTGTTCAATGAATTACTATTGATATCATTTAATTAAGAGTATACATTGAACAAATGAAGAAAGAAATGGATCCTCATCACATTGGCTATATTAAATGAAGTATACATATCGTGTATCATTTTTTATTATATCACAGTAAAACAAACATTTACTTATCAATTCAAAATGAATTCAGCATTCTATAATGATTTCCAATATTAAGTTTTATATGAAATTCTAATCAAATGTTTAATTGTCACTGATTGAATCACTTGGACACTCTATTATTACTATGATTTTATATCAGGTTATTATTCCCTCTATATTGTTTTACTCTTTTTCATATCCCTCTTCCACCCCGCCCCCACCAAACATTTTAGAACTTCAATGGTATAAATTAAACAATAAAAATCAACGAGTCCCAATCAAACTTGATTTTCGTATTGAACATGTTATCACTGGTGCAATTCATATGTCATTCAAACAACATCAACAATTAAATCATCAATATCCAAAACATCCATTTGTTTTGTCAAATTCAGGTTTGATTACAAGTGAAACAAAACAAAAGTTGAATCAATGGAAATGTAAATTATTAGAATCTGAATCAAATACTAATGTCAATAATAATAATAATAATAATAATAATAATAATAATAATAATGGTAATGAAATCATCTACCTACAACATCATCTAATCATATGGGCAAGTAAACCTGATGATGCTGGAAGATATTTTGCATCAAATCAATATCCATCGAATACAGATGGTGTATCATCAACCGAAGAGAAGGAATTTATACTACAAGTAATAAGTAAGTTAATTGTTTTTATTTGTACAATTTAGAAGAAAAATAAACAAACAAACACGATATTTACCTTGTAGTAAGAGTACAATTTGTTAAGCTGTAGCAATTAGGATGACTCTCCCAGTCTCCCACATTGTAAGAGCATTCCATGTATCTCAATTAATGGTTGCTCTGATTGTCAGAAGGGGTATCAGCCTTGTGAATTCCAAAGGAACTCGGCTTTCACTATGAGGCGTCATAACTCTTCTAAATGAAAACCTTCTAACTCCCAGGGCAGAGTTTAGATGGTTTGAATTAACTTTCCTCGTTAGTGTTTGTTTAGCGGATTAGTTTTCTACGGGATCGGGTCGCAAACTCCATGGCCAACCCTCTCCCTTCATCCGGGCTTGGTACCGTCATTAGCCCCAGAGGGACCCCAGAAGGAGTTAAGCTAGGTAAAACAAACTCTGTTCCTTAAAGACAAAAATATTTTATTTTCAGTATCAATTCACATACATGTTGTTAGTTATATATCTAAGTTATTAATTGATAAACGATTGACTCTACGATATATATTACCCATCAACATTACTCAAATTGATCTCAGGCAAATCTTATAGCTGACTTTATTTATATGGTTCTTTTAAAGTGTTTGAGAAGCCTAAATAAGCCAATAAACATTCTGAATACGTTTGAACGATCATTTGCTTTATTATCGTTTTGATTTTGTAGGGTTTAAACTTGTTAAAACCTATGGAATCTAATAGTAAACTAGAAATTCGATATTCCAAGTATATGATACGAAGACTAGAAGTTCAGATTTATACTTTGTTAATGATAGGATAAACCGTCGACAGTTATTACGTACAAAACAACAGTACTGGAAATATTTCACTAAAGCGGGCAAATCCATCTTTTTGATTCATAATGGCAATGAAAGCAGTCAGATATAGAAAAAGATTAAGAATCTCAATTTATTTCGACATCGTGTATGTATTATTAGGGCGGCCTGCTTGAGCATCTGGGCTACCTGTTCCTGCCATCTAGATATTTCAACAAGTTATCTATCGTTGTTTGTTTTAATATATCATTATGTTTATTAATCGCATAACCTATTCTGCTGCGTTTCTGAAAAGTGTACAACCTTTCGTTGTCAAAGTTACAGAAAACTCAATAAGAGACAATATGGTTGCTGGCAATGTACAACGAAAAGAATGCACATTATTCAGTTGTTCATTCACTGAAGTGCTAACATCTAACTGGCGTTTTCTCAATATTTATCGCCAGGACCGACCAAGAAGAAAGAAACGGAAACTTGTTGAAATACTTTGAGCTGAGAATTCTATATTGTACCAAAATTATAATATTGAATAAAGCTAATAATAATATAATATAATATAATATACTCAAGAAAATGACTAATTACTGATAGTTAACTTTATCAGTTCTTTAATTCGCCTATAACAATGGGCCTGTAAGGTGAAATAATCCATTACTCAAGGCAATGTAGTAATTATGATAACAATTGCTCTACTCACTACAATATGTCTGATCGCATCAAAGAATTCTCAATGCAAACTATGCAATATCGTACTGAATTTCCCATTTTATAATCATTTAAGTAGTGGATATTCTGCTATTATTATCCAATTGTAAACATTTGTGGTCAGTCTTATTTCCATGGCATTACATTGCATGTATGTAATCTATCGTAACCATTTCTCGTTTTTAAACTCAACAGAAAAGACAGAAAATAAATAAACTAACTTAGAAGTACTTTAGGCTTTCTTAATAATCAGATTTGCGATAGGTAGTAAACACTTTATTAAGATGTACAAGGGGATGCGGCTGGCAGTCATAAGTGAGTACAAATCCACAAACAGTAACACCTATGATAGTAAATGCATATTTGGGAAAATAGTGACTCAGAAGTCTGAGCGGGCAGTCATGAAATACATTGAACTATATCACCGAAAGATATTAATGAAAACACAACTCGTAAAGTGATTGTAAATGATCAGAACTTCTGTAAAACCTCTTATGTTCCTCTTATACAATAAATTATCATTCTTAGTGAATATTCTTTACATGCATTAATACATTTATAATCTCTACTAAGGTTAAATACTGTAGAAAATATATATATATATATTTAGGCTAAATGCTTTTGTTATTGTTACTTCTATGAGTTGGCTGGTTAATGACAGGAATATTGAAGCACATAGCAACAACGAACCCATACAAAAACAATCATCTACAAATCAGATCAGCGGAACTAAAGGATTTAAAACATTTGCAACAATTCTAAATAGACTCAAATCTAAGTTAGGTTGACAGTGATTTTTCTGTACAGAACGATAATAAAAGTTTCACAATTAAATCATATTGCACAGAGAAGTTAGAATCAAAAATAGCATCTAAGAAGTCATATTGTTTGTTAAAACAATCCTAGTTTATGATGAAGTTTATTTTACTGCTTACATGCTGAATAAACTATAAATTTCATTTGATATCTCGTTATTTTAAAAAATTCAGAATCCAATCAATCATCAGGCAGTCCACAATGTTCACCAGAATTTATTGAACCTCTTATAGTACAACCAATGAGCAGTGCTACTAGTGATCCTTTTATTGAAATGACATGTATAGTGACAGGCAATCCTATACCAAGATGTTTATTATACCGAAATTCAGTACCTATCCCAGTGGTTGTAATGCCTTTTCTCAAAATCGAACCTAATGACCCACTATCTACATTGAGTTCTTTAACGCAAAAATACACTGTCACAACATCATTATTTGATTTAAACAAATCAGATCGATCAAACAGTTATACAAGAAAGATTACACTACGTCTTAATCGACCATCCAGTTCAGAAGACATAGCCACCTATAGTTGCCGTGCATGGAATTGTCATGGTCGAACTATTACATCAAGTGTTTTATCAATGCAAGGTAAACAATAACTAACCTTCTTTTTATTCATATTGTAATCACATTTTTCTAAAGAATTTCTGTAATCTGACTGTAGTTTCCTTTTCATTAGGAGGAGCAACTTGAATGCTCTATAAGGCATTCATAATCAAGTGATAAAGTAGTGAAACTTCATCAGTTGAGATGGCTGGGACACGTGCCCAACCACCGATTGCCTCGACGTGCTATGTTTTATGGTGTAGGAGTAGGTTGGAAGAAAGCTAGGGGCAGTCAGACGAAAGCATGGCACAGATCCATGAAGTTACTGACAAGTGGACTGAGTCATGTTGGTAGGTGTAGACTACCTGGTTGGGATCGGCCAGATGATAGCAACCGATGGTTAGAGACCTTGAATGACATGGCTCAAAATCGTTTTCAATGACGCGGGTGCATCCACTCTTTGTGTTCTTCCAAATTCTATTCTTCTGAGTTCTTCATGTCCGTTTTTTTCTTTTTCCAAATCTATTTCACTCGATTATACTTATTGAATAACATTTTTAAACCCTAAATTTTCCGATGGCTACTTATACTTTTTCTACCTCTACCACTATGGGATTTGAATGGACAATTGTATCTGTGTGATAATGTGGTATGGCTACTCAAACTGATGTACATATGTACGAAGTTCTACGTTGCTACTGACTAGCTGAATAATTTATACTGATTACATTATTTAAGAAGGATTAATTAACTACCTTTTCTATTCTAATCAATCATAGTTGAGTAGGTTTTCTTGAAGTATTTTCCACAACTGTCAGCTTGAGAAAGCATTTGATTTGATTCCAAGGAATTCAAATGATTCTAACTGAATTTTTTTTTGGTAACTCGATTTCTGCTTCTAATTTAGTTATAAATTGTTTATTTTCTCAACGACAACAAAAATGGCCTCATCCGGAAGAACATAACTTCATAACTTCTTAAAATGCATCAAATAACTGTATATAATATGCCTCAATTCATTTGTTCCACATGACAAGTTAAATGAATCTCAAATGTCTGTCAGACATTGTTAAGTAACTAAAGAATTATGTAATCCCAGTAGTTTCATAACGATCAGTCATTAAATAACTTGTGTAATTTATGTAAGTTATGACCTCTATCCTACAGATTGTATATGTGTAATAGTTAAGTTGACATTGATCATAAACATTTATTTAATTACTATCTATCTGTTTTTCTTTAAAATCATGATTTAACTATTCATTGTTTAGATCACTTTGCTAAATTCGATTGTCCCTTGGAAAAACCGAATATGAATGACAATATCGATATGGTAAAAATTGATTCAATTCAATCAACAGTAAATACTTCTCAAAATGTTCGTGATGTAAGCTTGTGTTCTATGTAAAATACATCATCTTTCATGCAGCTACATTTTCAAATTACCTCAAAATTGATCATTTATTACAGCTTAATAATAGTAGTGTAAATCAATTGTTAACTGGTCACATTATAGGTGAGAATTCTCGAAAAAATATTACTCGATTTGACATACCTACAAGGGATAATGAATGTGATGGCTTTTACTGAAGTGTCATTGCAAGACAATATTCTTATGTGATTTTATTCAAAAACCGTTTAATTGATGCGTAAAAACTAAATCGCAGGATTTTTTAATAACCTTGTAACCAATTTACTGTTGTATTCTGCAGCCCGATCTCGTCATCATACCATTTCCTAGCTTTTTACTAACTTGGTATGTAAGAAATAATCAATAAAACAAAATGAGCTTTGTAGCTAAAAGCCTAATTCTCATATTTGCAACTCATTTGTATAAACAGACTACTGAACCAACTCAGATATGGAGATTTGAGTGATGATGTTAACTTAATAAAGAAATCACTCAAAAAAAGCCAGCTGAAGCTTATCGCTTATGTACCACGTAACTCTGGATTTACATTTGATCTATTCGGAATTCCCCAACCTAACACTAACTTTGTAGTCGGAATAAATCAATTGCAATATATTTCTCTATTGTACTGAGCTTTAAGAGTTGAAACCCTTGGTGATATATGTATTCTTTTAAAGCCATAGATATGACTGGTTGTTCATCTTCAATAAGCACGAAAATAAGAAAAAAATCAACCAATGTAGCTAATTCTCTAAAGTTACCTATGACTAAGGTAATGTTTTGACTGCATTTTCGGTCGTGATAGCTAATATAATTCTATTTGGAATAAGTCTGTTAAATCCACATACAATGACGTTAGTATTTTCATCTAGACCATAGCCTTGTACCCATAATTTAATAGTAATAAATATTATCTGACGAGCTACCGTAAACTATAGGACCGGTCATTATGGAAACCGATAACTCCATATATACTTGCCAAGTACTACCTTGTTTGACTGACTGTTTGTTGTTAAAGTTCGAATATGATCAAATCTAACAATTTTTCGATGGATATATCGATACTGCTTGTATTTGATAGTGGCTAAAGTAAAGGAATTCGCTAAAAGAACAATATATAGCATCTCAATTCAGGCCTAATCAACTTACAGCAAGAATAAATACCAGTAAAATTTATATTAGACTATCCTATGTAAATTATACATAATTATTAACGAATACTGTGTCCTTCATGGTATGTACAACAGTATGGGTGTATACAAAATAGGAACATGTATGACCTGTAGTCCTACAATCATTCAACATTAGTATTGTTTAAATTGGTATTATGGCTAGCAGCGAGATCCAAGATACGCATTCTGTACTATTTGAGACTCCTCTTCTGTATGTTCCTTCATCAGCAAGTTGGTCTTCACACTGAAACTCAAACCCAAAACCTATCGCTACAAAAGCCAATGAATTTTTCACCGGACCACTGAATTCAAACAAGTGATAGCTTTTCCCAGAGGGTGTAATACTTATTCGTGAGGGTTTATTATACACTCTCTGTTAATTTATTTGACTGCATTTAATCAGTATTTATCAGCATATATGCACCCTCAGCGGATACATAAACACCAAAGCTGGTAACAAAAAAGATAATATCGAGGCGTCTGCTCAAAATCTACATGTCTCTATAAAGAATAATCAGGATTCAGTATCAAATATCAACAACTGAATAGCGCTTACAAAAATCGCTTTAATTTCTTCTCACTGATGGACCCAAGAAAACAGACGGTTACACATCTATCTTTGTAGAAAAACCGCCAACAAATTTTTGCGTTCAAAGAAATGAGAATAATATTTAACTATTTAAAAGACTAAATGAAGTCACAAGGAAACTAAGTGTTTACATTTATACTACATCACACAGACTCCTATCTTAAATTAATTAAATGCTAGAGTTTCAATGTTTTTATTAATTTAACTTCAAATGAAAATCATAACTGTGGTGAGATGATAGTAGGACATCGAAGACTGTTTCATCTCTGAATAGGAAGCAAACATACTATCTTTATTCAACAAAGATTCTATATGTTTACCTAAAGAATTTCAGTAATGAAAGTTATATCGGTTTTTGATAACATGATTTTTCGTGTATCGCAAATACAAAATCCTATAAATGAATCACCAGACACAAGAAATATCATTCTTAGAACCTAATAGAAACCACTGGTCAAGTGAAATAATGATACATGCAATTAATTAACCTAAAGCCTAAAAACAAACAAACTACTAATTACATATCTATTAAAATCCATTAAAAGATTCTAACCCACCGATTAAGTTGTACAAAAGACCTCCAAATCAAATAGTGAAATATATCTGTAAGACAGAACTCAAGTCCTCAGTTATTAAGGCGGCGATGATAAGTCAAAAGTATAGTCAATGAAAATATATCTTTACAATTTAGAGGACACCACAAAGCTGTGTCAAAATAAACAGCCTGTCCGAAAGAACAAATTTTTGTTAGTAAACAACACACATAATAACATGGAAAAAAGGAAATATTAATACATATAAGTAGTGTAAAATAGATTTCAAAACACCTTGAAAGTACGAAAAACCGATGAATTATCTGCTTTCATTGACTTTAAATAACTTCACCAAGAAAAATTCGAATTGAAGTTAGACATTAATGCCGTTGGATCCCGGCCAGCTCATTGGTCTAGTGGTTAGACGCTCGAGCGCAAGACTGGTGAGTCCTGGATTCGAATCTCGCGAGGCGGGATCGTGGATGCGCACTACTAAGGGTTTCATACTAAAATGAAACGGCTATCCAATGCTTCCAGGTTTTCCATGGTGGTCTAGCTTCAATTGACTCATAAGTTCAACTATTAAAATTACTATGATATACACAAAACTCCTCTCTGATTATAATCATTATATGCTCACTAGTGACGGTCTCCAAGAGGTATTGCATGGAGTTCTAGTGAGAAGCAATGGCCAGTGGAGTTTAACCGGGTCTGTTGTGAGATGGTAACTCACTGAATACAATGGTGGATGTGTCGCTCAGTTTTGTGAATTAGTTGAAATTAGACATTAACACTGTTGGATGCCGGCCAGCTCAGTGGTCTAGATGTTAATCGTCTGTGCGCGACTCAAAGGTCCTGGATTCGAGACCCGCGCGCGGGATCGTGGATGCTCACTACTAAAGAGTCTCATACTAGAATGAAACGGCCGTACAGTACGTTCGAGTTTTTCATGATAGTCTAGCTTCAATCGACTCACGAATTCAACCATTAAATTACTATAATATCCACCAAAACCCTTTTCTGATTTTAATATATGATATTGATCATTCAATATTGAAGTACATCATGAAATATTTCTTTGGCTGGTGCATTCTCTCCAAGTTTTTTTTTTGAAAATTCATTCTAACATGTGGGCTTATTGAATGCTTTCTATGCACACAGAAATACTTGTTGAAATGATTTTTGTAGGAGAAGTTTCACGTTTTTGTTTTACATTTTTAAACTTAGTATCTATTCAATGAATTTTTTTTCCAGAATGGTGATGCTCTGATCAAAAAAGAAGAATTCCCTCTAATTACCGTAATAAGCGATTCACATGACAGGTATAAGATATATATCTATTAATTGACTTGAATTGTCTATCACTTAGTTATCAATGATGTGACTACTTAAATATGAACCTTAACTAATATTCATTTCGTATTCACGGTTTTAATATTTGAGCATTACTACTGGCAAACAATCAGTAGCCAAGGTGCCTAAACACAAAAATTCACTAATAATATTCAACTACTGAATACCTGAAAGCTCTTAACTGTAAATTTGGACATTTTGACAATCAATCCGTCGTAATCATACAAAGATAAGAGGTTAAACTATATAAATCCCAGTCCTGTTTTTTTTCAAGTATGTGAATCAGTACCTACTATGGTTTGATTGTTTCTTCTTGGATCTAAATTTAATATCCAAAGTTTCCATCAACTCATTTACTGTACATCTCATTGTATTAGTGTAGATACAATTCCTGTTAGAGTTAAATATTTAAAGATTATTGACATTCATAAGTATGAAATATCATTATAGTAGTAGGACATGGATAAGAAGCAATTAAGAGTAAGATTATCAATTAAATAAACGTAGTAATCCCGTTGAGATTGTGGAGAAGATTTGTAGCTCAAGTGGATGATTTTGGTGGAGTTTTGTTCTCTGGGCTGTTCTCTGAGTAGTAATCTCTTACTTTACCATCAAGTTGAATTCTTATAAACTCAGTTATCAAATATTTGGTATTTGGTAAATTCCTATCGAGTATTCACTCAGTTTTGATATGCCTTTAATACAAAGGTCATTATAATTTAGGAATACTTAAATGTAGTTAGTAAACTCTATGACTAGAAACTCTATATAAAGAATGATATTTCCTCATGAAGTGTATTTCTTAAACGCTATAGACTTGACATTATTTTCTTAACCATTAGGATCTTCGTCACGGTCATAGTCTGAAAACTCAATGAGACAAGTGATTCTTGGTATTTATTGACAGGATATAAATTTATTAAGTTTATATTGCATACATAAATTGTTATCATTGAATCTTCTCTATCCACTTTTATATCATAAAAACCTTTCAATAAAGTTACTTATTGTAAAGTCTAAACATGATTTCAAGATTCAGCAAATTTCTATGTATGAAGTTTCATGAAACTATTTAACGAAATTATTAACTTGATAACATTGGCTTAGACATATGTGAATAGATCAGCAGTAATAGTATTAACAATAACATCAAGAAAATGTCATTTTGAATCTTAAGAAGTAACTGAAATCTAAGGTGTAGTACTTTTTCTTTCAAGATCTCAGTTGAGACTCAATAATGATCATTAGGACTTTTTTTAAAAAGATATTTTAGGATTTCTGTCGAATTACACTAAAATTGTTAATGCACTAATTGATCACTGAGTAGTGATGATTATGGTGTTTATCGAATTCTTATAGTTAACCCTACTCTTTTGATCAATTTCTAATGTGATCACTAAGCTAAGTAACTCAATAAGGCAATATATCATGTTTGAATTGGTAAGTAATTGGAGATTATTCCCAGGATACTACAAAGCCAAGTTTCATGTTAACTGACACTCGTTAACAAACTTTATCTGCAATTTTCGTGAGAAGTTATCCTCCAAGTGAAACAATAAAGAATTCTTTGCTATCGATTAACAACTCGTGTAATATGCAGTACTAAAACTTTATTTCTTGATTTCGTCTAATTATCTAACTTCTTCAATGTATTCAGATGGGATGAAAATTTCATAAATATATATCAATATTCTTTTATTTTATCTACCGGGTTTTATAAACTTATTCTGATTATCCGTTTTTACATTTGTAGTATCAGTGAATTCAAACGATTTGAACCGGTAAGTGGTTTCTATACGTTATATATATTTTAGCTGATCCCCTTCATTCATTCGCCCATGAAGAGAATTCGGTTATCATTTTTATTCAGTTAACTTATATTTAAGGCGAAATAATAAGCGTGTCTTTGGTATAGTTAACTTTATGTATTTTCACAATACATAGTACTTACAAATAACTGTTTGATTTAAGATTGTTAAATGTCAACGACTAAGAACTCCAAATATAAGTCCAATGTTAGCTGACATTAGTTACCAAAGTGTATTTAAAATCTACCCGAGAAAGTAGTAGTTGTGTTTCAGAAACCTCAGCGGTAACATCTTTGAATGTGACATTGAACAAAGTGGGTTTGAATCCATTTGAGATCAGTAGTCTCCTCGGGAATGAAGATATACTGTGCTTACGCAAAATTAAACAGTATTCTTCCATATATCTAATATCACTTAACATTAAACGTACTGTATTGTTAAACTGAATCACTCAAACTACTTCCTGATTCCACTGGTTAATTATAAGTAAACAACTCAATGATAATTACTGCTGAAAGGATAGAGAATGTTAATCTTTGCTTTGAAAAGGATAAAGAAAGAAAGGAACTGGACGAAACTTCATTTTTCGGCTGAGTTATAAGAAGATGATACAAAAAATTACCATCTAGTATTGACCAGTCTGGGTAGAATAATTATCATAGCAACCTATAGAGATAAACATTAGTTATCCTGTTTGCTGCACTTATCAAAAAAATAACTAGTATTTTCATTGAACAAATTATTGATTGTTAATGTGACAGAAATACCCTAGTTGGCTAAAAAAATTGAAACCTATTCAATTTACAATTGATTGATCACTGAGTGGTGATCAGTGACATGTGTGTTAGGTCCTTCTTAGTGCAGATCGAATCCTATCGACCAAGTTGCAATGTGGCCATTAGTCTAGGTAACTTGAAATTGCGTGCACTATGTTGAGATAAGATGGTGGTTGAAGGTAGTCGACAGGTAACCATGTACCCAGGTTTCGTGTTACTTGGCACTCGTCAGCGAGGTGTACCTGTAATCTTGAGGCAACTGATACTCCCTGACGAATTCGACCCTGTGACACACATGACATTGATCACCACCCAGTTATCAATCAATTGTAAATACATCTCAGTTCTACAGGAGGTTAGTGGCCTCTCGGATAGCCTTGCTGTAACGTGTCTGACTGTGAAGCTGGGTGACACGGGATCGAATTTATCACAGAGTACTAGTTCCCTCAAGATTATAGACAAACTTAATCAATGTTTCTGTGGTTAATTACTCGAACATTTCTAAACAAAAAATCCTCGAAATATTGGTAAACACCCAATAGTATATTTTAAAGAAATTGTTTTTTCCAAATTCTCACTGAACAAATTAATACATCTTTGCTTGCTTTAACTAGAAATATTCAAGTTCTATCATTGAAATATCTCCTGAAAACCAATCCATCGATGTTAAGTAAGTTCACTTGTTCCATTAAGATTTCCTTTTTATTTTTATCTCTTCGTACCAACAGCCATCTTCTAGAAGACACTATCATGATTTGAGATAGTTACATGGTTACAGTGAACACTTGATTGACTACTCGATTAGCAGCGCACAGTTGGTATGAACCAAATTCGCTGTACATGATAGGCTATGACAGAAAATTAGAAGGTTGTACTGATCACAAGAATAATTAATATATATACTTCACTTGCTTGTGTGTCAACAAAACAGGAAATCATCTTCATATCTAATGCAAATCAAACTGACATACCTCACAATCTCAATAATGTTGTTCAAAAAACTCCCTTCAGTATTCTCTAATGATTTCGTCCGAACATTACTACAAGTTTTGCTATTGAAACATGTAGCTTAAAGAATAAAACATCATTATAAGATACCATAAGAGTTAATATCTATTCAAATATTGATTGTGTAGAACAATATCACTTGTTACTCTACACTATATTGTTATATACTCATCTTGATATCTACTATAACTATCTAATATAACATCATCAGCTGATGACGTCGTTCAGAAGAACGATGAAATCTCCATGACTAGACCATCCAGCTCAGAGAACAAAACTCCATCAAGATCTAATCCACCATCTCAAAGTAGTTTACTTTTCACACTTCTCATAATACATTCAATGATAAACATTACGAAGCATTAGTTTTTACATTCTCCAATCGATTTTACATTATTCTAATAACTTTTATATGAAATGAAATAAGATGTAACTCAACATGTAGTTTTATAAAATATGTATTAGTAGAAATCAAGTATCTATGGAAAAAGTTTTCACTATGAACTTTATAGATTATAGCAAGTTAAAAATCCCAACATGTTACTCAATTCTACCCTCAAACAAATTTCATACAATTAGTTTCCTTAACAAATTATTCAATTTATTGTGAAGAAGAACTGGAATTCTACACGTACTAAAGGATCAATCTGTTTCTGTTCTTTTTTATTAATCATAAGAGAAAACAACATGTTCATAGGATTAATGAGCAATAGTACTCTAGAACCTTGATATCTATGTAACAAGGCTAGAATATACAAAATGGTTATCAATGCTTTTACTAATGATTTTTTCCAGTTAGAACTACCTAATAAGCAATAAAGGAGTTTAAATATAAAGTTGTAGATAAGAAGATAAGTCAGTTGAAGGAGATTATCAACTTAAACTAACTGATGTGCAATTAATTGTGTTGCGTAATCCAAACGATTAAGAATGATTATTCATTTGAAATCTCAATAAAATTCAATGAGACTATAGTTGTTATTCACTTATAGTATGCCAATTGTATTATTATTTCAGTTAATAACTTTCAATGAACTCACGCGATCCCTAATTAACAATTACGAATAATTTTAATAAAGACTATATTTTTTTAATAGTTGAGACCATGAGTTAATTGAAGCTAGACCATCATGGAAAACTTGGAAGCACTGGACGGCCATTTCGTCCTATTGTGGAACTCCTCAGCAGTGCGCATCCACGATCCTGCCTCACGAGATTCAAACCAGGGCTTCCAGGTTCCTCATGGTCGTCTAGCTTCAACTGACTCATGATCTCAACTATTAAAATTACCATAATATCCATAAACCCCTTCCGATACTATGTTTTTTATTTGCTGAATGAAAAACCTTGTTCTATATAGATAATTGCAATTATACATAACTTGTTTCACAATTATTTATTTGACAGTGTGAAAACCTCTACTGTGATAAAAACAGTAAGTTTTCTTTCATTCATAACCAATTATTTCTTTAACAAACCATTTATAGTGTTATCATTAAGTAAATTTTCCCATCACTTTTTACGTTGAAAATTAAAACTTATTTACTTAATTACGCCTGTTACTCTAAATGGAGCATAGGTCGCCGACCAGCATTCTCCAACCCACTGTGTCTTGGGCCCTCCTTTCTAGTTCTATCCAGTTGTTGTTCATTCTTCCCATGTCTGTCTTCGTTTCTCGGCGTAATGTTTTCTTTGGTCTTCATCTTCTCCTTTGACACTGAGGATTCCAAGTGAGGGCTTGTCTTGTGACGCAGTTGGAAGCTACTAACGTTTTAATAGGACTTAATAGTTTATTCATTTTATGACCAACTAACTCAAATCATCTCTAAAATTCGTTTAAAGTAACGAGATTAATCGTATTGTCATTATAGGGTTGTGGAGACTGAATTTCAAAGAAATCATGGACCGATCAATAGTAGACCATCATTAAAAACCACGAAGCATTAGACGAATGTTTCGTTCTAGTATAGGACTACTCAACCATGCATAACCACAATCCCACCGGCAAGAATCGAACATAAAACCTTCGGTTTCGCGCCCAAACCCTTAACCTCTTGATCACTGAGCCAACATCAAGTGGAGTTAATGTCTAAATTTAAATGATCCACGATATTGAGCGACCATCTTCTATTTTCTTAGTTGAATTAGTGCCTCACACTGAACATAGATTATATCCACTGGTCATAGCTTCCCACTAGGTTTCCGAAAATTTTCTCTAGAAGTTCGTCACAAATGAGCATACGATAACTTTCAGTATGAGATTGTGGAGATTGTTGAATTTCATTCCAAGTTTTCATTGATTGTCCAACTTAATGAAATTTATCATTTTTATTAAGTTCGACAAATTTCAAGTGTCAAATAACTCGTCAGCGAATTTATAATGAAGGGGACGAAATGGCTGTTCAGTGCTTCCAAGTCTAGCTTCAATTGACTCACGATCTCAACTATTAAAACTACTATAATATCCACAAAACCACTTCTGAAATTAATAATGAATCTTTTATACCCTGTTCACCCGAATTTAATCAATAATAAATCCATATTTGTATACAGTTGAATGATCTTCAAAAACTTTATTATCATAATAGGCTCATCACAATTTAATGTTGAAATCCTTAACTTTTCACCAAGAAACATGCTAAACATTTCAAGGAATTTCGGTCAATTCAAATCTCTATTCGGACACCTAGAATAAAACTGTCTGAAAACTTAAAACATTTCAAATAATACGAAGTCATTGAAATTAATTTAATATGACTCCAACAGTGAACAATTACTAACTTTTAAGAGATTGAGTCTTCAACGGCCACAATACAGTTAGGTTAATTAAACAAACTAATTATATGGTTTCTTACACATAGTTCCCTTTATCATTTTGAAAAGAGCAAGAACAAAGATTCTAGCAGAATAGCATGAATTCATTTTATTTCGTAGGTTCTCGTCAGCTGCTTACAACCTGTGATATTTAAAAATCATAATTGCATAATGGATTTAAATTGCTTACAGAATATTGTAAATATATACCTAATGTGAAAGAATATTCTACAACATTAATTGTGACAGAAGTTCAAAAAATGGGTTAGAAACAATTGATTACATAATGAATAAACATTGATAGGAATATAGTGATTAGAGTTCAGTTGAAAGATTATTAATTTGAAAGATAGTTGAAAAAATAAATTAGAATCAATGACGTAATAAATGCAACAGAAAAAAGAGGAAAGAAAAAAATTTTAAGGTTCAGTGAAGGAATATTTGTCACCAGGGTAAGGAAAGATTAACCACCGTCTCCTCTTGATATAGAAATGCCTTCAAATTAGACTGAGATTTTTATTTCAAAAAATTCGAATTTAATAAGAACAAGTGTACGCTCATCAATATGCTGATCGTGATATATTTTCGAGGTCTTCAATGAAATCCACACTGAACACAAAATGAAGCTCGTGCTATACAGAGTATTGATTGGCTTTAGTAAACATGGATTATCGTGGTTCTTCCACTTCATATTAGCTTTATTCATTTAAAGCTGAAATCAGTTTACAATAGATTTTTAACGTTAAATAACTGATAACTTTGAAAACTAATCTAACCTTATTAGAAAAGATTACATCATAAATTGATTCAAGACTTTTATTATCAAATGAGGTTGCGTACTAATCAAGGGGTAAGGAAGAAAACTTATGGGTCAGATATGAAGAACAACAAACATAAAGGTCATAATAATAAACTGAATAATAATCGAGCAAACTTGTATAATTTTAATAGTTCAGATCATCAGTCAACTGAACCTAGATCACCATGGAAAACGTGGAAGCATTGGATGGTCGTTTCGTCCTATTGTGGGACTCCTCAACAGTGCGCATCCACGATTCCACCCCGTGAGATTCAAACCAAGGACCCATCAGTCTCGTGCGCGAGCGCTTAACCACTAGACCAATGAGCTGGCCGGCATCCAACGGTGTTAATGTCTAACTTAAACTAATTCACGAAATTGAGTGACACATCCAACATTGTCATCAGTTAGTTACTATCTCACAACAGACACGGTTGAACTCCACTGGTCACTGCTTCTCACTAGAACTCCATGCAATACCTCTTGGAGACCGTCACTAATGAGCGTATGTTGGTTAGTATCAGAAGAGGTTTTGTAGAGATTGTAGTAACTTCAATAGTTGAGATCACGAGTCTATTGAAGCTAGACCACCATGGAAAACCTGGAAGCACTGAACGGCCCTTTCGTCCTATTGTAAGACTCCTCAATAATAATAACTGATTCGAGTTTAAAATTGCAAAACATATCTAACCTATAAATTATTTGCTTCCTTGCCCCTTGATTACGTACGTAACCTCATTTGATAATAAAAGTCTTGAATCTATTTATGATGCAATCTTTTTTATCCTCCTATAGACATATACTTCCCATATAACTAACCTTGTTAATCTTTTTTTTTCTGTTTTATCTGAACGTTTCTCTTTGTTGTTCGTCCCATTTTATTTTATCCTAATACTTGTTATGTACATGTATATGTATGCATGTATAAAAATAATTATGTTGTTATCATTCTCTTGATTGTTACAAATACTTAACTCTTGAACATTTCATATATTTATCATATTAAACACCATATTGATCTTGTTATATAACTGATCCATTGGGTGACTGATTTTCCTCATTCTCTATATCCGCCATTATTATTAATTTAGCACCGTTGCTGTACACAGTGTACAATGATATGAAAAATTATGAAATATACTTTTTTTAAGTAATATGTGATAGATTATTCATTGTTACCATTTAAAATGTATAAAAGCTGTATATATGACGGATGATGATGATTGTAGCGGTGACCGTAAATATTCAGGTCATAGGACTAAACAAAAAAGACTCCATTAGAATGAATGGCAAGACTATAATTAATGAACGAACCAATCAGGTATAAGATAACAGGTCTCGGATTCGGGAGCGAAATTCATTCATCCATTTGGATAAATAGAATTTTGGCATTATAGCTGATGTCAGTTCGTGATGAAAACCCGAAATTTAATTCCTCAGATTAATCATCGACTGTAGATTATAATTCTAATTTCTCACACAGGTTCATAACCCTCATTTGGTCCTGGTTATTAAATGAACACTCTCAAGGTCAGTCTCGAGTCGCTTAAAGGTCGTCCATAAATTACAGTCTCACCGAATGAATTTCACCAGTTGAAATATACTATTCAAAAAAGTCAAGTTAAATCAAGAATGAAGATATATGGTGATCATATAATGATTTAGTTGATTAGGTTGTAAAGATTCGTTTAATTTGTAAGTGGTTGTCATGATGAATGAACATCAGTTGGAATAACTCTGATAACAAGGAATCATCTTAAAAGTATTTTATATTAATATAAATTATCAATTTTAAATTGACTGAAAGAGTTCAGCCAAGCTAAAAGTGAAATAATCATCAATTTAGTATGAGATCACAAGCGTATTACTCTATATCATGAATATAATCCAAAAATGTAGATCGTTATGTTCCAACCCTCATTCTCTTTCTCCCCAAAGATCCTGGATTCTAACTCTGAATAGATTGTGGCTAAATCTGTCTAATGCTCTCTGATTTTTTCATTGATATTGATATACATTAATGAAGAAAACCAGTTTTAGATAGTATTACTTAATCGTCATTGCAGTATTTCAATTTTTCTTGTTCAAGTCACTTGACCAGTTACATCATTCAAAATATTCTCTTAATCGGGTTATAAAATCCCAGTTATTCGAATTCTCAGCACCGATCGTTATTTAGTGGACGAGAAATGAAACAACACTTTGTTATGTGTTTTTTTGTCATCAAGTTGTTGAACATCATATTGTTAGCAAAGATGGAATAGTTACCGACACCGAAACAGTATCTTATCTTATGAACAATGTTCACACAATGTGACTTAATAATAAACTATCGTATTAGTAAGAACAAATAAGATAACCACTTCAAATTTAAGAAAATAGTCAGATAAGTCACCATAAGTAGTGGAGGTCCAAAGAAACTTTAAACAGAAAGCTCTCAATACTATACTAAAGGATTTTTGAATTATTAAAATGATACGACATTAGTTATCAATGATAACAAATTAAGCTAGTGGATTTTGTATTACACTTTTATATACAATCTATATGAATCCACGAACCATAATGATTTCATGCTTCTTTATGAATTCACTGGCACGATTTATCAGCACTGAATCATCACATTCATTCAACCCAGTTTTAAACTTAAAACAAAGTTGTTCTAGTCTTTGGAAATCTCTTTCAAGAATAATTTAGATGATGGCATCATTTACCGTTTGCGATAAAATAATCTCTTCAGAACTCATGCCTTTTGCGCACGTGAGAAGCTATGTTGACTCAGTAGCTAAGTGGACAACGCGTTGTCGTTTGAAGTGACATATATTGGGTTCAAGTCTGTGGGTAAACATCAATTTTAGAATGCAGGTACATTCATCTGACCAGTCCTAAACAGGATGAAACGTTCATTCTGATTTTAACGGCTATTCCGTAAAAACATTGTTTATTTTCTTAGAAAATCACTTATTGTTTAGCCTTCACTAGAAAGTATGATCATTATCATGTTAATAATACTCACTTTTGATGACAGTTTTCATCATGTAATAACGTTAGTTGAAGATCCAAGAAAGCTAAACGGTACTCGGTTTCTGCTTTACTCTCGTTTGAATCTCCTCAACAGTCCATAATCCTTCCTCTGCCAAGCCCCTAAAAGCATAATCCTCTGATTTTACTTCAATCATAATACACTTAAACTAAAGAGTTGTATCCCACTTAGTTCGATAGTTCTAACTTCAGTAATGTCACAGTCTATATCGCAACAACCAAATAATCGTGTCATTCAGTGATTACCGCAAATACTAAATACAGTTAATCTCTTTTCAGTCTTCCTTTTTACACATGAAAGTGTTTTAAATAAATCATTCTCAATATTCCCTTTATTGCTATTCATAGTAATAAAACGATATTTTTAATGCATGTAATATGAAGTGAATTTTGAATTTAGTGTTGTGTACAGACAACAGAAATCTATATTGACCATACTAACTGAATGCATGGATCACACCACAAATATATGTAGCCTGGTTTTGTTTATTTTTGCCAATAGTGCATATTTATCTCGTAATTTCTTTCCTCCTTTTTTTCTTATTTTTCTGTTAGACTATTCATAAAGAAAATGAAACAATTGAATCATCTAATAGAAATATTTCGGAAATACTAATGAAAAAATCATACGATAATGACACCGCAGTAAGTGTAAACGATGAATATTCATCTCTAATTTTTTCTTTATGATTGTATGTTACTTAAAATGATATTTAAGTAGTTTCAAGAACTCAATCAAATAAACCGTTTTTAATCTTCGAGCCAAATGACCATTGTCAATCTACTACATTAAATAAATGAAAAACTTCAAAATAACAGATTATATTTATTTAGTTATAATAATCTAATTGGTTTTGCAACTCAATTTTCGGAAAACAATTTTGGATTTTATTTAGAATTAGGGCATTTTCTATCCATTTATATACTGTCCTGTGTTAAATTGTGTACTATAAAATTTTCCCCAGTGAATATTGATTGTCATTTGTTATTAGCAGTCCTTCGTTGCACTCTAAAAGACGAAAATTGTGATGTGATCTCAAAGTTTACCGGTCGAAAACTACAGTATGTCTCATTGATTATAAATCGTTAGTTAATGATGGCACTTGTTGACAACATGGTATCAAGGTATGATATTGTTCAGTTGAATGAATCATACACCTCTTGACTTATTATTGATAACGACTGTTCTTCATCACGTCATCAAACACTCAACACTGGTATCTCTCTATATATGTACTATAAAGATTTATGGTAAGTGAATGTACAAATTTGTTACACTCATTTAACCATAGTGTTTTGACTTTGACTAGGAAAAAATGTAAAAACCCAATAGAAAGGTGTATAAAACTTATTTGTGAAACATTACACTAAAGTAAACTTCATTTTCATGATGAACGTGTAGGTTCGCATAAGTGATAAAATCAATAGTATATATTTTAAATTCTTTAATAGAAAATGAAAATCTAGTTATTGTAATACTATTTTAAGTAGGAGTTGAGGTGGCTGTGAAGAATAACAATGGAAACTATGAAGCCAAAATATTGGAACCATTTATGTGGATCGAAGTAAAGCTTTTGCACTGTTATCTCGATACATTTAGATACTTTAGAAGTAGTCTATACAATCATAGTTATAATCACTATAACACAACATGGACAACTATTTCAAATATAGAGAGTTTTAATCAATCCTACGATTAGACTTACTTACTCCTGTTACTCCTTGTGGAGAAGCATAGGCCACCCATCAGCACTCTCCATCCAACCCTGTCCTGGGCAATCCTTTCCAGCTCTTTCCGGTTGTTATTCATCCTTTTCATATCTTCTTCTATTTCCCGACGTAATGTGTTCTTTGGCCTTCCTCTTTTCCCTTTCCCTTCACGATTCCAAGTTAGGGTTTGCCTCGTGATTCAGCTTGGTGATTTGCGTAATGTATGTCCTGTCCATTTCCATTACCTTTTCTTAATTTCCTCTTCATTTGGAAGCTGGTTTGTTCTCTTCCACAATAGACTGTTGCTGATGGTATCCAGTCAACAGACACTGAGTATCATGTGTAGACAATTGTTTATAAATACTTGAACATTCTGATGATGGTTGTGGTGGTTCTGCAAGTTTCAGCTGCGTACAGTAGAACTGTCTTAACGTTTGTATTGAAGATTGTGACTTTGATGGTGGTTGACAGTCGATTCGAGTTCCATATGTCCTTCAATTGTAAGAATGCGGCCCTTGCTTTGTCACTTCTAACGTTTACGTCTGCATCGAATCCTCCTTGTCCATCGATGATGCTTCCCAGATACATGAAAGATTCAACATCTTCCAGAGTTTCGCCATCAAGTGCTATTGGGCTGGTATTTTCCGTGTTCTATTTAAGGATCATTCCTTTTCCCTTGTGTATGTTGAGACCTACTACAGTAGAGTTAGAGGCTTCTGCTACACTGTTTGTCTTAACCTCCATTTGTTGATGTGTATGGGATCGAAGGACCAAGCCGTCTGTGAAGTCCAAATCATCTAGTTGTATCCAACATGTCCATTTTATCCCTTGCTTTCCCTCAGATGTTGGGGTCTTCATAATCCAGTCAAAAACCGGAAGAGAGAGAGCGGGAGAGTAGACAACCTTATCTGACTTCGATCCTTAATTGGAATGCATCTGTCAGCTGTCCTCCATGCACCACTTTGCATTGTAGTCCATCATATGAATTCCGGACGATGTTGCCGATGTTCTCACGTACACCATAGTGTGGAAGAAGTTTACATAATGTCCTCTTATCTAAATCGTCAAACGCCTTCTCATATTCAATGAAGTTAATGTATAGTGAATAGTTCCACTCAACTGTTTATTCACCAATGACCCGTAGTGTCGCAATTTCGTCTGTGCACGACCAATACTTACAGAATCCAGCCTGTTGATCTCGAAGTTGGGCATCTGCTGCGTCTTTCATCCGGTTCAGTAACACTTTTGAAAATCTTTCCTCGTACTGGCACTAGTGTAATGCCTCTGTAGCTCAGTTCTCACATTTGCTCATATCTCCTTCCTTTGGAATCTTGAGGAGGTGTCCCTCCTTCCAGTCCGTTGGTACTCATCCCTCCTCCCGAATCTTCTTGAATAGAGGGTTTAGCATCTTTGCAGTTACCTCAATGTCTGACTTCAATGCTTCAGTTGCTGTATCATCAGGTCCTGCTGCTTTCCCACTCTTCATTTGTCTGATGGCCATCCTGATTTCTTCGATCGTTGGTAGAGTGACATCTACTGGAAAGTCTTTGTGTGCTGCTTCTATGTCGGGTGGGTTCAATGGAGCTGGTCTATTAAAGAGTTTCTCAAAATACTTTACCCATCTTCACTTCTGTTCTTGAATTTCAGTGATTGGCTTGCTTTCTTTGTCCTCGACCCGTCCTACGATTAGAACAAACAATTAATCATTACTTTTTAATTTTTTTTATAGACTTTTCTAAATATCATAACTTTAGCTAAGTATTTCGAGGGATTTGGCAGAGCTATAAACGAATAAACAGATATAGTTTTAAAACTACATTTTATGTTATTCTATATAGCATAATCTGAACTTCAGTTCATTGATCAAAAACATTGTTGATGATGATGATGATGATAATGACGTAATATGAGTTAATTACTCCTAGTTCTTTTGATCGAGTTTAATTTCTGATAAATCTATATCAGCTGCCACAGTTTAACTGTTTACCTTTTTTTAAATACCCCATATATTTCATTTTTCAGTCAAATATTTCGTCTGATATTGATACCAAAAATTACAATACTGTTAATATTCCCTCATCGAAACGACAAATATCAGAAGAAATTACATCGTTACACAAAGAAATTCATATAATTAAACACAATTCAGAAGACAATACCGCACAATCTAATTATAATCAA